ACTGCAGAATCTTTTCAACTTCGTCGAAGGATGGAAAAAACACGGAGGATCGATCGCGGTACGGCCGACATCATTTTTCTCCGTGATATCATTCCGAATCGATGTTGTCGTACAGGATGCTGGCGCGTCAAGATTATGTACGTGCCGGGAATTCTGGGATATCGAGAGATGGTATCGAAACCTACGAATTCTTCCTGTCGTCTGTCTCTGTTGTTCGCCTATTCGCCGCCGGTTTTATATAGAGAAGAGACTTTAATTTCCCGGGGATCGATCGAGCATACTGTCGTCGTCGTCGTCGTCGTCGTCGTCGTCGTTGTCGTCGTCGTTCCAAATAAGAGAAAAAAAAAGAAATCATCGATAGCGATTCATCTCCCTGTTACGAGTTTATCGAACGCGTCTCGCAACACGCAATTTCTGTTCTCGTTTCTCGGCCGATTGCTCCAAATACTAACTACCGCGCGAGTAGTCTGAGCGTCTCTCGTGAGCGTCTGTGCTCGGTGATAACGCATCGATCGATTGATAAATCGAATTAGGCTTTACACAGGCTCTACCTATTGGTTCCATGGCTTCTCAATTTCCTCTTAATTGTCTCGTTTGAACTCGCCGGTATCGAAACCCTGGCACACACCGTTATTCCGATGGAATATTACATCATCGACAAAAAGCTGAACAGTTTCTAATTTCCAGAGTTACCAGGAAGAATAAGGACTGACGAAAGTTTCGCGAAACTTTCGGAACAAAAAGCCGATTCTCTCGAAAGTCGGGGCCCGGTTCTCAGCCGCTTCGTCGAAAGTAACAATTATCGGAACTCGCGTGCTCTTTTGGTTATTTAAAACGACCAGCGGAAGAGGATGGCGTAATTATTTCGCTAATCGTCGCTTGAAATCGGCGGTTAGCAACGCGTTTACGTTTACAAGAGTCGACTTGATTCCATGTTCATAACTTCGTTGTCTGTCTTCTTCCCTCCCGTGCGTCGCGTTCATCTCGCGTGACAGGCAAATCTCGTCGCAAGAATAATTAAATTGCCTGCAAAAAGGATTAATTAAACCTCGGCGTTTCATCTGTTCACGCGATAATCTTATGCCGCATCGGATCGTTAAATTCTACCTGGGCAGCCCTGACGTAACTCGTGTTACTACAACGCGTATCGATCCTGCGGGATATCGTAACAGGTTGAGTGTGGCACGTGGTCGAACATAAAACGTCGTCGAAAGACACAACTTTGCAACTTCGGCTTTACTTCTAAGTTGAATTCTTCCGATATTCGCAGTCGTATCGCCGGCCGGCAATCTCTAACGATATTCAACCAGATCAATATGTATGAACCGTGGTTCCGGTCACTTGAACGTTCTCGTGTACAGGCACACAACACAACGTTCCCGACCGGACACACAGGTACGTGCAAATTTTCAAGAGGCTGCGGATAGGTCTCTGACCTAGGCGAACTGCAACGCGCACATCGGTCGCAGTGAATATTCCATTCGTAGTCGCAGGAAGTAGCAGGAGGGTTATATATGCGCGTAGGCTGAAACGGGGTTGCGGCTGTTCCGGCCAGCGGCTGTCGAGGGTTGTTTAGCTATCAGGGACGAGCCGAATCCCTCTGGCCACTCGATGCGAAGTCCGTGGTTCCGCGTTATCGCGCATCGTCATTTCTCGTGAAAATAACCACGCGTATTAACTCGTCGTTATGCGACCGGACGGTAGATTGTTTTCTCAGTCCGTATGCAGACGCGTTCACGTACATAGCCTGGACAGGTTTAATATTTTCAAGGCTTAAAGGATTATTTCAGAAATAGAACGAACGTTTACGAGACAGCCGGAGAAAGCTTTACTCTCGAGCTTATGAGTGGCCTTTCTCGACGATAACGCCGGTCAACGTTAATTTCAAGGACGTGCGAACATTGTACGCGAGTAATAGAATTAATATGTTAATTACGTTGATTATGCTCGTCCGTAGGGTCGGCTGATGTTGCGGTTATTTCAGTGTGTTTGACTCTCCGAGGGGGCTTGTTTCCTCGCTTTCCTCGCTCAGGGACGCATTCTTACGCGAAAGAGCCGTGTTTTCACGACACGTCGAACTGCGGCTGTTGTAAAATCGCTGCTGAAATTAATTCGAATCGACTCGATAGCAACTGAGAAACTAATTTGGCAAGTGCTCTGCTCCTTTAGCTACCAACGAACGTGTGGCTACCGCGTTGGCAAACGCTCGAAACATTGGCAAACATTACTGAATGTTTCGCTTCGCGTGGAAGTCCTCCGTTCGAAACTGATCCAACCTACGAACTAATCCATTTCTACTCTTCTCCTCTGGCATCCATCGCAATTTTAAAAAAATACGAAAGATCGTCTCTTCGACTGGCCATCACGTAAATATGTATCATGGCAAACAGTATACAACAGTCAGTGTAGTATAGAAAGGAAGAGAGAGAGAGAGAAAGAGTAGTTATATGATGGAGAGAAGAGAGGAGAACTCGCAGGATCGGACACGAACATTCGCCCCTGAGCCGTGTGGTGTCGGGGGTTGCGAGCTGTGTCAGGATCGAGGGTAGGCAACCGACGAACCGAGGGAGGCCGATAGACAGGGATGAAGGGAGAGAGGCTCGACGGGCGAGCCATGCCGGGGGAAGGACGCCGGGCGTCGCGGCGCAGGCTGCCGCACCCAGCAAAGCGCCTGCTCCCCTTGAACCGGCAAAACGTATACCTGACGCAACCGAGGAGACGACGAACGCGCGTCGTTCTCGCGACACACGCTGTTGCTAGGCGCTTGTTTCCGAGCCACGACTCCGTTAACCGGGGATTCATCTCGGTCTGTCCAACGACGCCGTCCATCCGCCTACATTTCGCGGACTTCCAACACCGAAAACCGAAGGTCACCACGCGTTCGCGTATCGCTAATACGAAACTCGGTGTTTCGCGACGCGGTACACCGACCCTTGCCCTTCGCGTCCTTTGCAAGCGTGCTACGAGCCCCGGCGCGTCCTCCTAGCATCCCTGCGCTCGCTTGCGCGGCTTTTACGCACCTTTTGCTGAAGTTTCCCAGTTGTACATGTGATACGTGAACTTGAGTGAAATTTCGAGGAGTAACAAGGAAGAACGAGGTGAGATAGAAATCGACGAAGGTAACCGGGTAACTCGCCGAATAGGAGTGTCGAAAACAGGAGTCGTCGTGTCAGGATTATCGCGGATATATCGGCATGTATGCGACAGAAACGTAGCCAAAGGTGAAGTACGGAACTAGTGGGTGGGTGACGAGGAGAGGAGGAAGATTTCGAAGCGCCGTGTCAAGGTTGCACGACCTTGATTCGGTCAGCGACACGAGCCACGGCTACGTTTCGCAAAATCGAGCGCACGCCGGAATTTATGCGCGGAGTACCGCCGGTGTCGCGTCATTAGCCGCTTCGAATTTTCACAAGAAATCTCGCGTTCATTCAATCCAGTGATCGAATTTTTCTTTTCTTTTTTTTTTTCTTCCTCCGCCCCGTAATTCAAATTTCTACTCGCATAAATCGCGATTACATTGATCGCTTGTAACAAGCATCGATGAACCAAATTTCACAAGAACGTCAGAAGATAACTACGTCTCGGAAACGTCTTTTATTTCCTGTCCAGGGAAACGTCCAGTTGCACGGTTCGACGCGAGCGTAACTTTATATCGTCTCAGGGACGCTTCTCTTCCGCGATGCTTCTTTAAGCCGGGAAATGCGCTCGAGAATATTTATGAACTATTACGAGGCCGTCCGTGATAAAATACGCCTCGCTCCCCCAGGCCGTTTCGTTTTCTTACGCTTGAACGTGGATTAATCTAATAGTCGTTCGATCCTGCGGGACCCCTCTGAATTCCATTAGCACGACCACTCTCTTATCTGTATATCTAAATACACATGTGCATCGAGGGGAAAGAAAGGCGATTTTCGCCAACGCGTTGAGAGGACCGTTCAGCATCGCGAGAGTTGGTCGCTGGAGTTCGCCGACTAATTACCGTACCAACGGGAATAACACTGCGGTAGTCGGCCCTGCGGAGACTGCAGACAGACGTGGGTGGTGTCCATCTTGAAATAGATTGCATACCTTACCGGGAGTCGTGCGAGCTTTTTCACGAATTAAACCTCTCTCCGTCTGTTCGCCGTAGACTACATTCCAACGTAGGTATTCGTTTCTCGAAAGGATATTCGTTGCTCCTCCATGTACGAGCCATTTATTTTGAATTTATTTTGAAAAACAGTGAGTCACTTTGTCCTGAAATCCGGATATTCAAGGGTTATTTTAGCGTTTCAACGTGCCTAGAAAAATTGACGCCAACCTTCGAGAAGATTTACTTCCGTTTGTTATCTCTTATTATTATTTTTACATATCTTTTTTATTCACATTTTTACTTATTCTTTTTTTCTCTGGTATAAACGACGAATGGCTATTTTTCATTACTGTAGAGTGACCTGTGCCTTTATTTCAAGATAAACGTTCACTTGTAATTCACACACACATGTATGTTCATCAACACACGATGTAAATTCAAATTTCTGAAATTCATGGTCAAACTCGTTCCAGAAGAGTTTCTCTATCTCGACGTTACTTTCCGAATGAAATGAGATATTAAGTTTTTAGCTCTGGAAAATGGAGTTACCGTAGTTTCGCGGGACGATCAATCGATTGTTAGAGCCAACAGTTCCCTGTTTACGTTCCGTGTTTTTTGGCGGAATTTACGCGACATCGTCCGCGGCCAAGCTTAGGCGGTGCCCCTGCCTTTGGGATAGGTTAGGTCCGTCCTTGTAAATGTACGCGAATGCACGCGAGATCCCTATCTGTTTTGGAAGTTGCTGGCAAATCGGGCAACAGGAGTTCCCGACGCTCCTAGAGGCTACGTCTCAGATAAGAACATCCGTCAAGTCGGCTTTTCCGCTTCCCCCGGCGTAGTGGGAAAAACTTGGGGAAAAAGTTCATTTGGAAGCAACTATCTTGCGCGCAGATAATTGTTTTCAAATCACGTCGATGGTTGTTCACAGTTGCTAAGCAACAATGGGAGAAGAACTGTTTGGCGACGAGCAAAACTGAAATCCGTCGAAGCTGAACTGTACGACAGTTAATCGAAGAGAGAAAGAGAGAGAGAGTGCGGGATAAAATTCCTGGTACATCCGCGGTGCGTGTATTTCCGGTAAACGATATCGATTCGAAAGCGACGATGCAACGAACGTGCCAGAAAGAGGAGAAACATCGCCTGTGAATGAAAAAGTAGCATCGGGATTCTATTGAATCCTCGCAGATTCAGTGCACGACGCTCTGAAATCCTACCAACGTCGCGTTTTCCTTCTCGAGAATTTGTTTTCCTTCTCCCTCGCTCGATAAAATCGCGGATGCCGTCGGCGATTGCGAAGCAACAGTGAGAGAAGAAAAGTTCGAGACTTCCGTCCTGAAGATTTGTTTCACGCCTCTGTACGTTTTCGCGATGGAGTGTCCTTTGCCTCGACGTGCCGATGAAAACAGTGACTAGTGGTGGGTGGTGATCAGTGACCCACCGTTTCGAATGAAGTGGTTATAGGATGATGGTGGAGCGCGTCGAGGACCATCTCTTCATGTATCGACGTCCCGTTTACCGGGTCTTCCAGTACCTCGAAACCACCGAGTAAGTACCACGACGAGAAAGCATTCTTCTGTGACGCTGGGACAAGTGTTTACACTTGTTACCCGTCTTATTATATAACGTGCTTGAATAGTGTTTTAAATGATCTTCGACGAGACGATGAAAACTTGGTAGTTTTTTTTTTTTTTTTGGAAATAGAAACTAACTTTGGAAATAAAATCGTATTTTATCTGGTATGAAAACGAATCGAATCGAGTTTCCATTGAAGAGCTCGCCTGGAGGGTTCGAAATAGTTCTGGCTCGTTTCTGCTTAGGAGCGCCGGGTATCCAGCTGTTAGAATCTTCAGAGCCACGAAACAGGCGTTTAAACAAAGGGGTTGGCTTGTTTGAAGAGCACCCAATGGCAATTTACGTGGATAAAGCCTTTTGAGAGTTCCTCCTTCGAATTTATGAATGGAGGGAAACGCCGCGAGGAGGGTTCAAGTAGGAGCGAAGAAGAAAGAGGAACGGAGGCAGTTTCGCGTGGAAACATTTTTTTTTTTTTTTTTTCGTAGATCGCGTTGTATCGATGGCAACGGAGGTAACCATGGTGAGATTGCCATCATCGACCAAGGACCTCTCCGGTAACCGTTTCTAATTGGCACTATTAACTATGCTTCAACAGCGCCGGTGCGCGGCCTCTATCGTCTCGTTAGAGTCGCAAACTTTCGAATTCTTCCAAGACTAAATTATCTCTGCTGCCCACGATACTGGGCAACGTGAACAAAAGAATCGCATCACATCGTTTTATCGACGTTTTTGCATGTTCTGTTTCTTTGTCGTTCGATAATAACCATCATTTCTCCGCGCGATTAACACACTTCCGGCGGGATATTTGAAATGACAGTTGACCTGTGTATGAAATGTGTATTATTGATTGAAACTATCGTTATAGAAGTTTTATAAATAATTATACAATTTTATCATTGTAACAATCGAATACGTCAGTATGATCGATTTCATGGTTCATTTGGCCGATTGAGATAATTATTGTGAATGTCAGTTTCTTCATTGATTTCAATAAGCTTGAAACACGTTGATTGGATATTTTTTGTTCCTACACATGTAACAGCCACAGGGTCCTTAGTTTCAGAGATATTCGCAAAAATATTTTTAATATCATGTATTTTTTAAGGATTTGACGCAAGGAATTTAAATTCTAATTCATTAACAGCATTCCCCACCAGCAAAAACTAACACAAATCAGTAATTTAAAAAAAAAAAGAACCTTTTTAAGGAAGAATATCAGTATTGATTTGGCGAAAACTGTATGGCAATATTATCAACACTTTGCAGTAAGTCGCAAAAATAAATAATTAAAGAATAAATCTTATTAAAAGATTCATCTTTCGTCGATGGAAACGAAGAAAGAAAATAAGACAGAAACATAACTCAAACGCAGCTAAAGTAGATATCTCAAAAATTGAAGCGACTGAATGTATAGGAAAAAAATTATTCAGAGTCGTGTCCCCGATAACAAAATTAAAGGTCATTAAAATCAGCGAAGGAGTCCACATTCTCAATAATTATCGGGCCATTTTTGCAGGCCTAAATTAAAAATACCTTTATATCGACTTTTTTCGACGAAGTATTATGATAACACTACATAATAACATATAATAATAATGAATATACGGGATGATCTAATAAGAATTAGCACTTGAATACGTTGTCTTTGGTGATATAAAAAAATTTTATCAACAAAATCATGCAGTATAGAAAGGGCTGTAATATACTAGTAACAGTGTTTTTGCAGTTTAGGTAGAGTTTCAGAGATTTCAAAATCAGCTCCCACTTTATTTAAACATACACTATAGGCATAAAGTATATCATGGACATCGTATGCAAATAACTATCTATCCCAAATATAGTAGAACTCTGTTTATTTAACCAAAAATTTTACTCGATATCCGATTGAATGATCGAATATTTCTATTGTGTGAACTTCATTTGTATAAACTATTTGTCCGCCAACGAGTTCCTATAATCGAAGTTCTACTTTACGCCACAGCAGATAAATAAATATTCCGTTAAAAGGTTAAAGCGATAATTGTCGCGGGCCATTCTTCTCTTTCTTCGATCATACAGAGGTCTTGTAAGAAGTTTCATGCCCGATCGAATTGCAGTAGAAAATTCACCTCGCAGGATAGTTAGAAAGAAGTCACGTGATCTAGGAAATGAGAAAAGTTTGACCAGGATTCCAGTCAGAGCTCGTTGATCAGACCGTAGCTAAGAAGTTTCGGAAGACGTCTGCGACGCTTTTCGCAAGTGCTCTCGCTGCTATCTGAATCTACTTAGTTTCGAATCGCGAAGCTAGTTAAACATCGATATTCACCGCGAAAGTAATTCCTTCGACCCACCGGAATGATCCGATTGAGATTTCTTCACGGAGAAAATTAGACTGATTCGATACTATTCTATAACAATACGAATAAGAACGAAATTCACGTCGCAATGTATCTAATAAATTATACTGTTGCGTGCAAGAAGGATCTCAGTGACAAAAGTTAATTATATTTAAAAGCTAAATATTCCTTCTATATTGCAATTATCGCAAGACTATTTATAATATTTTCATTTTTATATATAATTATATATTTATATATATTTTATCTAATTATACTTATATATATAGTATTGTACATACTGTTATTGTACTTAATAGTTATTTATTATTGTAAAAATTTAATATTTCTTATTGATAATTTTATTGAGAAGTGAGAACTTTTCTTACATCCAATAATGCAATTTCGTTCAAGTTTCTCAATATAATCTCTTGTATATCTTTGATAAAAATCTTTTATTTATTTATTTATTTATTTTAGTAATTATTTGCCATCAATCAATGAACATTAGTCTTATGTTACAAGATTAAAAAAAAGTAAAGTCACAAAGCTAAATGTATAGATGACACGAAGAAAGAAAGAAATAGCTATGATGAAACGAATAGTTTAAGCATTAAAATAAATTTGAATCTCGAAAAAAGTTTTTGTTCATGCTCACGTAGGATTAATTCGGAATATTTTATAGTGACGCGAACGAACATTTCGTTGTCTGAGAGCTCGTTTGAAAAACGTCAACTTTTCCGTGCGGTCGAGGTTCAACGAGCGTTTAAGCCTGGAAAGTAAGTAAAGCCTGGTGTCGTAATTTTAGAATCTAGAAGGACCCACCATCGTTCTGACTGGCTTAGCAGGACTTACGAGCTAGTTTTCGAGGCGGAACGTCAAGTCTTTGAGTTTACGACTCGTATCTAGGCTGGTCACATCCACCGAATCAATCTCAAATCAATCGTCACCGTTCTAACAAATCGTCAATCGTATTTAACAAACATAACGGCGCGATTAACATAAAAATTCCTCATCAATTCGAGCAAAGACTGTCAGTGATTTTTCACAACAAGTTCCTGTACAATTCCTTCTGCTTGGCATTCTGCGAGTTCTCACTAGCTGGAGTTTCTCGCTCACGCATACGTTCATGCATATTCCACCGCAATATGTACCGTGGACGATGTCCATTCTGCTATGAATTAATGATCACTAACGGTCGTTATCTCCAACATTGTTCCTACCGATTACCTTGCTACTGTAAACGTTCTCAGTGGTTTCCTTCCGGTTCTAGTTACTTCCGCAGATGATAGCTATCCACAGGTCGATGGGTAAATAATCTATTTACCCATGAATGGGTTTTTAGAGGTTTCTCTTCGCCAGTGTCTTCCTCGCCGTATATTCGCTTCGCCGTAATGAAATTCGAACTTGGAACAATTCCCTTTACCCCAGAAGAAGTAACTCTATAACACAGGGTGAGAGGAGTTCTCCAGCCAGAAGAAAATTCAATTCCCCGAGGAAAATAAACGCGAAGATTGCAGCAGTGAAAAAGGGGAAATGGTGGCGAAAATGTCAAACGTGTCGTATAAAAAAGATGATGCTGAACTACAATGTTACCGATGTGAAAAATGTACCACGTATGTATTCGCGAACGACTGTACATATATACGTATGCAAAGTCGCAATGCAGATGCAACTCGTATCCCATCTGCTTGATTATGCGCTGTTGTGCATTAGGGCTATCGTTTTCAGTTAGAATAGTATCATCGATCTGATAGAGATGCTATACTACATATTAAATTCCGTGTACTAAATTAGATTCCACGTGTCAATCCGGATTTCAGGCTGCAGAAAACTGCAATACTCTTCCATCTCGATGAAACACCTTGACGATTTTCGTTGAAATACAAATCCTCGTGAAGCGTTGACCCTTGCGAAGTTGTATAGGAACGATCGAATACACGGCGTGGATGATTTATTCCTGCAAACTATTGTTTAACATCCTATCCTTCGCCCAAATGCCATTAAACACCGCTCGCTCGTTGTCCTGTAGAGAACCTTTCACGCCGCGGCCTGGTCGCGTTGCGAGACCTGTCGGACTCGTATTTTCTTCGCCCCGATATTGTCGGTATTGCTTTGCATTCCTCGTCTTGGACGCGGTTTCCGCGTTTCCTCGTAGCCCGGTTCTCGTGATTTTTTTCTCTTTCTCATCCTCGTGAAATAAATACGTAGGTACGTATCGAGACTCTGAGAAACGAGGTTAATTTGCATAAGACACCGTCGGTGTCATCCTTTCTCTCTCTCGTTCCGATGAAGACGGCTCGCGAGAAGGATCGAAGACACCCCTTAACCTTGAAAGTCGATTAGACGGAAATAGAAAGTAAAAAAAGGAAAAAAAGAAGGAAAGAAGGAGACAAGATCTCGGTAGAGGTTCGACGAAGGTGGAAATATCGAACGATATCGGCGTCTCCAGGCAGTCTGTTGGCGCGATCGCGCGCCGACCTGGAACAGCCGATCACCCTGTTTATTTGCGCCGCAGGAATTGCGCTAGCGACTCAATTTTTCATCGACATCCCACGCGTTAATACCGCGTGAAACACGGACGTAGGAAAGAAGGAACGGCTCGATAGGGAAAGAGAGGAGAAGAGAGAAAGAGAGAAAGAGAACGGACAGGTTGTCCGTTCAACTCGTCGATCAGTTTCTATCCGACGTCGAGACGGCGCGTACACGTACAACGCAAAGACGTGTCCGCGACGAAAGGACGCGAACGTTTCGAGGGTGGGTCATCCGGTTGGGTTTCGAAGTGCGTGAAAAAAAGAAAAAAGGCGAGGACCGAGAGTCGAGCTTCGTTCTATCACGGAAAATTTTTCGACGCTCCATATTCGAATTGAAAGTGTCGCGGCGCTGCTCGATGTACGCGAGTTTCCCATCGGGGCTGAAAAATCGGCGAGAGCCAACGACCAGGCAACGAGACTCCGGGACGTTGAACCAGCCAGCGCGAAATTAAAATCGTGCGCGATGTCTGGCTCCTCGTCCCCTCCCCCTCCGTGCCACGGTTGTATTTCGAGACGCGGAGACCAGATGTAATTCAATTTCGTGAAACGAGACCCATGCGATCGTTTCGACACAGTTCCTCCGTGTCTCGATTCGCTGGCGTCGATCACAAGGATCAAGTGGACACTGAGTTGGCTCGGACCAACCGATCTGTGCTCTCTCAGAAGCATCGAGTTACCATCGAACGAACGAAGGACGAATGGACAACCGGATAGCCTATGAGAGAAAAAGAGAGAGAGAGAGAGAAAGAGACTATGATGAGAAGACAACCGGATCGAGCAGAAATCGCCAGGATATTGGTACAACGAAACACGGTACTATCAAAGAACTTTCAACCAAGCCAACTGCAACAATCGCTTGCTACTCGATGACGTGTTCAACCGACTGATCGTCAGTCGACGAACATTCCACAAAGGTGCTGCCTCGACCGATGATTATTATTTTCCTCGATAATTGTTCGATGAATTGTACGTGATTTCGTGAGAGGTTCGTCGAGGATTCTGGAAGGATAATGCTGGAGCTGATAGAACGTAAGGCCAACGGGATCTCCTGGCCAAGTTGCCGCGGCCAAAACCTGGAATCCTTGGGCAAAGATGCCAGGGGGGTGTTCTTCCTCCGGCGAGATAGAGCGTGTCCTCGAGAGAAACGATGGAGAAGGGAGAACGGAGGTTTGCTGTGCTCCCTGGGCCAGCTGAGATGCAGCGAGTCCTACACCCCCGACACACTGGGCACGTGGAAATTTCACAAGGTGTCTCGTCCGAGGTAAATTCTAAAACTCTTCGAAAGAAAACCAAGCGTTACTTGGAAGAAGAAACCTTAGAAAAGAGACGAGTTGGAGGGAATAGTAAGAAGGAACGCCCTACGAAGAAGAAGTGGGGGAATTTTGCATCATCCAGGGGTTTTACTCGTTCCTTCCTCGTGGAGGAAGACTTTCGTCTTGCGCAATTAAGATTCCTTCGTGCAAACGGGAGCCCCCCCGTTGCGAGTCGTCTTGTTTCCGCGAAACAGTCCTTAGCGACGAGATTGAACGCGACGATTTGTATTCGCGCTCGCGTCCTCCCGTGGCGATGTGTATGTTTCGCGGCTCGTAACGAGTGGCCGAGGCACGCGAGCCTCGTTACGGCTGTGACGATGCAAAAGCGCAATAGAGAAAGTAATAGTGAAAGGTAAAGTGCGTGGGCGACAGTCGCAGGTGCGTGGTGGTTCTGCTTGCGCCGAGTCGAGTCGCTCCACTACTCCACGTCGGGTCAGGGACGCACTTCGCGTATTCTCCCTCTCTTTTTCCCTCCGTTGCATTTTCTTCCCTCTTCTTATACCGCTAAGACTACCCTTTGCTGCCCTTTCGGCGGGATATTTGAAATGACGGCTGCCTGTATGAAATGCGTATCATTCATTGGAACTATCATTGTAGAAATTTTATAAATAATTGTACAATTTTATTTTATTTTATATACTGTAACAATGGAATCCATCAATATGACTAATTTCGGAGTATTTAGAGATATTCTTGTCAAAATTAATGTTACTTTCTGTTTGAATTTAAATGATTTATATATAGAATTTACATATGTAATTATATATAGAATTTATATATAATTATATATATAATTATATATAACTATATATATAATTTATTAATTAATTATATTTATATATATATATTTTAATGATTTATATGTAGAATATTTTGACACATATTCATAGATAATTTCACTTATTCATTTACATTAATATTTTTGTTAACCAACGAAAGTCAAGTATATATATATATATGTGTGTAACACCCGCTGTAAATGTATTAATAGCGATCGTCATTGTCTCTCCCCGATTTCTCGCTGTGACAAGTCGTTCTAAAACAACAAGAATATTCTTCAAACAGTGACAGTGATTCAACGCTCGCTGAAACGATCCTTCTCTTAGGATAGCAAAAAAAAAAAGATACTTTTCGCGAAACATAAAATATTTCAAGCATAATTACCTCTGCTTCTCGTGAAAGCGATCCGCCGATTTAATGGCGATTTCACCACTTACCTCCGACTCCGTGATATTTAGCAGCAAACAAATAATAAAGTCGCGCTTTGTAATCAACGGGTCGGAAGTTATTTAATATGTTGCGCACAATTGAATTAATTCGCTCGATTTGGCGGAGTCGCGGAAACGTGGCGAGGAAAATGAATATTCATCGCTATATATATATATATATAACGAGGCAAAATTCGCCTCAAATTCGAGGCAGTCTCACCGATCATCCCTCGATTATGTCTCGATTCCCCGCAGAAAGATTCTCCCGGCCGATATATACCATGGCGGCATTTAACAATTGCGCAACGCGCTCCGTTCGTTGTTACGTTGCTCTAAAGTGCAACGTGCATTAAAAGGCCCATCGGCTTGTACCGGCACGGCTCGTTCGCCGATCGGCCCGCGCTTGAGTTTCCGTAAATACGAGCCGCATCGCGGCCGCTGTAACGTCACGCAAATAATTAATTCGCGCTTTGCCGACCAACCAAACAGCTGTCGCTGTTGAATAAAGCCACCGGCCCTTTCGTTTCTACTCTTCTCGACGGAATTCACCGTCGCTTAATTTAATTACTTTGATCGAGCGAGTTATTATAATCTAATTACTCGATCCGCGGCAAACAAGTGCAATCCTCGCGTACGAAGAACCGTTTCGTTACCTGTGCTTCCAATCCTATGAGCTACCACCATTTTTCGAGTAAACACCAGCCTTCTTGGAACGATTCCGAGCGATTCTTTCCGCGATCCAGCATGCCAGCCGAATAGTTGGTGGTTCTCGGTCTAAGTGCTTCGTCCCTGACCGACGGCATTCCATAGCCGGACGACGCTCGTAATATACATTTGCATTAATAGCAGCGACGCGAACGCACGAGCTTCGGCTCAGCTGAAACCGCTCGGCGACCGCTTTCGCGCGCGTTCGCTTTTCACGGAGTTCCGAATTCGCGAATTCGTCGCGACGGAGATTACTCATTTTCACGAAGAGGAATGCGCGGAGAGGAATTACGTCATCGATGTTACGGAAAACACCGAGAGACGCGAGAAGCCAATGCAAAAATCGAAACTTGTTTCGCGAGTTACGCGCGCATCGCACGATATAAAAACACACACCTGGAAGCTGGAAAATTGGCTTTTTAACCAATCGTGATAAAGCGTTTCTAAATACGCGATCCGTGGGCCAATCCGTAAAGTTCTCGCCGTTTTACCAGCGCGTTGCTTTCATCCAGTCGTTCAATAGCCACGTAACTCGGTGGCTGAATGATAACCAAGTGAAATCATCTTAATAACGCGACGCCGTGCAGGAACGTCTGTCGGTACGATCGTGTCGGCTCTTCCGAAACACAGGTCCCGGCGGTGAATTCGAAGTTCTTTCAGAACATTCTCACCGGGAGGAGAGAATGTTCACGTTAAGCTGCTCGGTCTGCTTGAAAAGAGTCGCCGGAACTCCGGTTTCAGAATCGAGACCGGAGACTTTCGTCAATGCCTGCCTCTCCTCTCCTCTCCTCTCTTCTCTTCTCTTCTCTTCTCTTCTCCCCTCCAGCTACAAATGCACACGTTCGCAAGCGGTCTGAATCGGTAACTATGTAAGTGCAACGCGCGTGCAAACGTGTCAGAAGGCCGCGTCCAAAAAGGGGTTGGTATCAAACTCGGACGGTTGAATGGGGATGCGGTTGCGTACAAACACGTGGCAAAGGAGGCCCCCTTTTCAAAAGGCTCCCATCATCGTTCACGCTACGCGAATTTTCCATCGCGGCCAACGTTCGGCTAAATCCAACCGCGCTATCGTCTTTGATCTCAAACAAGCGGAGGGTTAACTCGTCCTTCTGTCTATGGTTGTATCTTTGTATGGAAAAAAAAATTTCAGAAAAGTCACCCACACACCGTTTTGTCGCGGTTCACACGGATTCTTCGTGTATATTTTAGAAAATATAATCCGGGAAGCTATTTTGTTAAAAATTCCAAGTCTGTAATTCAGACTTGGATTCAGACAAATTCATTCTTTTTCCCAGAAAACGATCGGTGATTGTACTGATTCGTCAACCACCGATATCCGGAAGTTATCGTGCAAATTTTAATCAGTGCTGATAAGTTGACTGTCGTCAACGTGTCTAGTCGTTTGGACATTCTCGAGTGAGATTCGAGTGATACGCGGATACTGGTAGTAAAACGGAATGGTGACCAGTGACAATATCGAAAAATGCCGAGAAACTTTTGACTGTGCGCGAGAAACGGCTTGGAACGATTACCTGGACGAACACAGTCGTGACTACTCGATTGTTCGCACGCAAAATCTTTGTTCGTAAAACGTCGAGAAACGTTTGTACTGTAGCGTAACATTGCCATGGACTTTTAATTAAAGCAGGGACTTTAATAATAAAGAAGGAAAGAGAGAGAGAGAGAGAGAGAGAGAGAGAGAGAGAGAGAGAGGAAGAGGAGACTGTGGCAATTTTAAAAGTTCTCGTAATTGAACGTTCCAGCCAGGAGTTTCGTAGCCGTTGTACGATGTTTAAAGTACAAGTTTCTCTGCTTGTTGCGTATTATCCATGCTTCGCCGACAAGGAAACTCACGTCGGGAAAAGGTTTCAAAAGAAATTCTTTCCTCTATGGTTCGATGAATAATTAATCGTCTCGACCCAAAGCTTACACGTTAGTTGACTAGTGCGAGCCGAGATTTCACGAGATAATGCATAATTGACGTGGCCATTGCCGCTTCGTCGACTAAGCCGGCTCTTTTTTTTTTTTTTCTTCTTTTTATCAGACTCTTTTTTATTCTTTTTTTCTCTTTCGTACAGCCATGAGGGGATGAGCACTGGCGTGGGAGATGGAGCTGGAGGAGGCGGCGGCGTGCAGGGAAGCGGCGGCGGAAGAAACACGCCGCCCCATGGATCGCCCACCCCCATGGATAAAGCGACTCTAAAGGTCCATCTACCTAACGGTAAATTTCTACCCCGATCTCCAGTAAAGTGCCGCTCGAAATAATTAGAGGGGGCCCGTTCCGGCAAAATTTATTGTATACCAGTAAGAAAGAAACGGAGGGTTCTTTTCCCCGTAAAAGGAACACGAAACTGCTTTAAATAGTATTTATATACCATCCACGTTTCCTTTTTCGTGATTGAAAAAATCATTGGGCTTCCAGGTGGTTTCAACGTTGTTAAATTCGGTGACGCGATCGACGTGAGGGGTATCATCTCTTTGGTAACTAGTCGACTAGCAGTCGGGACCAGGCATTATAGAAATCTGTACGCCATGAGGCTGCATCACCCTGGATCGGGAGAGAGTTACTGGCTACATCAAGACACAACCATGTATCAGGTACTTGCGACATCTGTCTCTTTTAAACGAGTATTTTATTATTATTACGAATAGTAAAATTGAGAAATCGTTCGTTATCGCCAGGTTCAAGAAAAATATGAAAAGAAACATCCTCACTGCGAATGGAGGTACGAATTGAGAGTACGATATTTGCCGCAAAATCTGAACGACCTGTACGAAAAGGATAAAGTGACCTTCTTCTACTACTACGACCAGGTATTTACCTCTGAAAATCAATTTCCTCAATTTTACAAACAGATCGAATTAGCATTTAATTTATGCTTTTGTCCTTATAGGTCCGAAACGATTATCTCTGCGCGAATCACGCAGCTCTCGATCAAGACGTGGCGGTACAACTATGCTGCCTTGAGATTCGCTACTTCTTCAAAGACATGCCACAGATCGCCCTCGACAAGAAGAGCAATCTCGAGTACCTAGAAAGAGAGGTGAGGCACGTTGTTCCTACGAAAATTGTTGGGTTTCTTCGCGAGTTTCCACGAGTAAGAACCTTCGCATTTCATTCGCAGGTCGGCTTGCACAAGTTCTTGCCGCGATCCGTATTAAACGGAATGAAACCAAAGGCACTACGCAAGTTAATACAACAACACTTCAAAAAGGTTGCCGCATTGTCTGAACTGGAATGTATGTTCAAGTTCTTCGATCTTTTACGCGCCCATTACAGATTCGATCAAGAGAGATTTATATGCGCTTTGGGGGTAAGTTATTTTTGCTCTCTCTTTCTCTATGTTGTTTCTGTGTAGTTTTTCATAGTTTAAAATTATTCTACATTACAGTCGAGCTGGTCTATACCTGTAGAACTAGTCATTGGACCAGATTTAGGTATATCTTACATGGCACACAGAGGAGGAACGGTGGTAAATATCTGATTAATTCAATTCGTCAAAGATATTACGACATTTCATTGGTAACGTTAAATCTTCCATAGCCAACGAGAATGGCCGAGTTCTCTCAAATACAGTCTATACAAACACTGGTATCAGACTGCAAGGAACATGCAAAGGCGTGTATTAAATTAAGAGTAGCTGGGGCGGCGGAAACGCTTAGTATAACTTGCTCGAGCCTAGACCAAGCAGAAAGTCTGGCGGATTTAATCGACGGGTACTGTAGGCTAGTTACTGGAAGCAATACCTCGTTATGGAACAGGAAAGGTACGGCAATGTTTGAATAAAATTTGTTAAGCAGCCGTAAAGACTGGCATGCTGCAAAAAAATTGTTATCACTTGCCATTTAAATTTTAACTTGTTTGTTTCTTTATCTTGATATTTATCCTCTTAGTATGTTGGCATCTTAAAGCTAACACAATCTCAATGTTGATGCAACGAACATTTCCTTTAGCTTTTACCGGCATTCGTGATAGTATTCGACCAACTATATAGAAACTTGTTTTATTTATAAACGTAAGCAAAACGTTTAGTTTCATTGTACTTTTATAATGAAATCATGTACATCACATCCCATATATCTCGCACGAATCCCTTTTACGTTGTATAAAAGGTACTAAGTTATAATCGTTTACACTTCCAAGCTGCATCGTGGAAAAACTATCCCTGTCCATGCAAAGGTTTGTAGTTTTGAATGATCCCGTGCCGTAGTTTACTGTCTCATTTAGAATAATTGCATGAGAATCAAGATTGATATATTCGCGATTATTGATTATATCCTTCGTCTTAAAAAATAGATGCTCATCCACCAAAGTACAGACAAGATGGTTCCAATAGTCCAGAGAAAAATGTAAGCAAAACGGGAACTATATTGTCGGAGGATTATGCGGAAATTGTGGACGAAGAAGGAGATTATTCAACACCAGCCAGTAAGTGTAATTTTTACAAAAACAAAAAAGTTTGTTGTCTGCGTTTCACGCGTAAAAGATAATTCAAAACTCTGATCGTTGAATTTTAGCGAGAGACTATGAAATAGTTAGGAATCAAGTGGAATTAGGTGAAATCATTGGAGAGGGACAGTTCGGCAATGTACATAAAGGTTCATATAAAGGACGGGACAATCAAGTAATACCTGTAGCAGTTAAAACTTGTAAAGTCGACGCGGATCTTGCAACATCAGAGAAATTCCTCGAGGAAGCCTGTAAGGAAGAATTCAATCGGTGGATTAAAAACCGAGGGTGATCGCTTGATCGCATTAATATTGTGTGATGTAAAATTTCAGACATAATGCAACAATTCGAGCATCCTCATATCATAAGACTGATAGGCGTGTGTTCCGAGGCACCAATTTGGTTAGTGATGGAATTAGCCAAATTAGGGGAAATGCGAGCTTATCTACAGTCGAACAAACACCGTCTGGATCTCGCCACTCTTTTACTTTATACATTTCAATTGAGCACTGCCTTATCGTATCTTGAGAGCAAGAAATTTGTACACAGGTAATTAACAAAGAAGAATTACAGCTGAAGGACTATAATTTACTGACGATCATTTATTGTAAATATTTATTAACTTTTTATAGAGATATTGCTGCAAGAAACGTACTAGTCTCTGCACACAATTCCGTAAAATTAGCAGACTTTGGTCTTAGCAGATGGGTGGAAGATCAAAGTTATTATACTGCGAGTAGATGTAAGTTACCAATTAAATGGATGGCGCCAGAGAGTATTAATTTTCGAAGATTTACAACATCGTCTGACGTTTGGATGTTTGGTAAGTGTTCTAAAATGAAAACTCGCATTTCTTTCATATTCGATGACAATATGAAATGTTTCCGTTTTATTTCTTCAGGTGTGTGCATGTGGGAAATTTTAATGTTAGGTGTAAAACCGTTTCAAGGTGTAAAAAATAACGAAGTGATTCGTAAATTAGAAAACGGGGAAAGACTTGCATTACCGAATCACTGTCCTCCGCGATTATATTCTTTGATGTCTCAGTGCTGGAGTTATGAGCCTAGTAAACGACCGACGTTCAAAGAAATCAGAGAAACTTTGCAGTATGTACATCTTGCTTCTTTCTTATTTTCATTGTTCGACAGTTTTTGTTAAATTAAAGATTATGATATTATAGTGAAATTTTATTGGAAGAGAAACACCAGCAGCAAGAAACAATGAAACGGGAAAACAGAAGAGTGCAAGCCATGTCTTGGGGTACGTAAAAAGAACAAATTTTATTTAAAGCGCTCCAATAATTCTTTGTTGGACACGGAGCAGATAATCTATCGTCATTTAGGCGCAGACGATGTACCGCCACCGAAACCTTCGAGGCAACCGCAAAACACGACGGACCAATCTCAGCTAACCGCCGCAGCACCAGTTTCGACATATATCGTGGCGCAAAGCCCCGAGGTTCTCGCGCAACTTCTCAAGGATAATCAAACTAGGGGGGTATGTCCCTCCGTCTACACAACACCAGCCTCGCCTTTCAATACCTTAGCCGTGCAATTTCAAGACGAAGAGCAAGTCTTAACTACCGCCTTAGTTTCAGATCTACCCTTTTTCGATCCAGCCATCTCAGAACCTTCTGCCTCTCATGATACTCATTCAGGAGACTCTACTCTGTCCGACACTAATTTAGATTCCCTTGACTCCTCCGACACTCCTCTCATGTCCAGCCTTAACATTTCAGACACGACACAAGCTCAGTCCCCCGCTGCCAATAGAAAGCAGCAGAAGGTTAAAGAGATGCAAAATTTGTACGCGGTTAGTTCAAAAGTCGTTGGTAACATTACTGGAGACTTGTACTCTCCCGTTCAAAAATTCACAACATCCAATGCTATTCCCGTTACAACCAGCGTAGCCACCTGTGGCGAAATATATGGGCCTGTCGCTAATTTTACGCAGAGTTCTGCTATCATTGGCAATCTTAGCCAGAGTCCCAGTGTAGGTGGTAATTTCGGTGAAAATCCTGGAAACTTTGGGCCTAGTAGCTTGAATAGTATCGTAGGATTGACCAATCAAAATCAATCAAATTTTAACCAGTTCTCTGCCAATAATACGAGTCAGACGTTCGGTGTTGCTCCGGTGAGCCAAAATTCTAGTTGCATACAGAATCCTGCCACTGCCGTCGTATATCCTCGTGTACCGATTGCTAGTTCGGCTAGTGTTGCTATTCCCTCATCCAATACGGAATGTTTGTACGGGCCGGTACTAAAATTCCGAGCGCAAAACATCCAGAACCAAAATGTCTCCGACTTGAAACCCGTGAACGTGTCGGTTGGATCTGCCATACCAAATGCGAGAAGCAATTTAGCGCACATTTCGGCTCCAGGACAAAATCTACAGCCGATGCACGCTCAGAGCTATCAGCAAATCTATTCGAACATTAGCCATCCAGGGACGCAACCAATGTACATGTCACAGTCACAGAATGTGCAAAACATCCAGAAACAGAATCCCATTCATCAACCTGTTTCTTACATCTCGACGCAATATACGAATCAGCAAAATCAAGCAACTGGCGCTAACCCAATTTACACGGCGCAAGCAGCCTCAGTTACGGTGGTGCAAGCTCAGAAGATTCAGGCCCCCGTGTACGTGCAGCAAATTCAAGCTGGAATTGCGAGTCACGTACCGTGCTCTCAAGCGATGAACGTGAATCAGCAATTGTCTTTTGAAATAGCACAAAGTCATCCCGTGCATTTCGCCACATCAGGTGGCTCGGTTCAACCAGCTAACCAACAGCACGTTCATCCAAGCATATCTAACATTGTAATGGGGCAACAGTCGACTTCTGTTACCGCTGCGCAGCATGTCTCGACTCAAGGCAATGTAGCAAATCTACCGGCAACTACAACGAACGCAACACAATATTTACCACAACCAGTGATGCAGACGGGAATCATAAGATCGAATGCTCCTCAGATGGCAACCGGTGTTGCGAAAATTACAACATTCGTAAATCAAAAGCAAGATGAACAACTGACAAGCTCGACGGATGGTACACTCTCTGGATCACTGATATCATCCGCTGTCAGTGATAGCACAATGTCATCGAGCAGCTCGATGACAGAGGAGGCACAGCAAGATCAGGTTTGGCAAAGCCTCCTAGGAATGACAATCGCATCTTCTATCTGCAACAGCATATTATTTTTATTTATGATCCGAAATTCTTGCAGCACCATACTTTTGTTGCAAATCAAATGTACATACAATTCATACATACACACATACATATATATATATTGCTTCTGGTATAATGCAGATGCGCTCACATGCTCGTTTAAATTCACACAATGGCCCTTTTCTTTCGTTTATATATAACTAGACGATATTTTTCATTTATAACCGAAATGAATTTTATTTTGCAGTTTTGGTAGGCTAATCTTTTTGCATGAAGAATGGAGATAATATTATCACTATAACAATCTGAGCTGCATGTAATGAGTATGATTGCACTACTATTGTTCTGAAATTGGTTTTGCATCAAGAATTATGCATCTCTTTAATTTTACTATGTATATATATATATATGTTTATTAAACATATTGAAACAATGAATTACTTTGATGATTGGCGAGCGGATTGATGAAAATGAAGTGAATCTTTTCCTTTCAGAGAACCATACAGTCACAGATATTCGACAGCATTACAGAAAATTTCAACAGTGGAATTGACGACGAACAGAAACTGCTGGAACAACGACTTTTGGAACAACAACGCCAATCCGAAGAAGATAGTCGTTGGTTGGCAAGGGAAGAGGTACGACTAATTATTTGCATTTTTTCATATTCACGATGCTTGTTGCGATCATTTTTACATTCTTTTATTATTTATTTCCATATTTAGAAACGCTTATCCATTGCAACGAGTGGCGACGAAAGCGCGAGTCCTCCGGTTCCCCGTTCAGTTACGCAGTCACCAAATCATGAACAGCACAGCGCTAATACTGGTTCTATAGGCTCCGATAAAAGTACCGAAAAAGTAATCGTTGTGAAGGTAATTTCTCAGTTTGCTTGAGTTTGAATTAGTTTAAATATGGGAAAAATTACAAAAAAAAAATCTATTTCGTAGAAAATGGAACCTACACCAACCGCCGATCTGGATAGAACGAACGACAAGGTATACGATTGTACCACCAACGTTGTTCGTGCTGTGATGTCTCTGTCTCAAGGTATGACTTATTATTCGAAGTTCCGAGATATTTATAATTTTAAATAATATTTTAACTCGCAAAAATAGGTGTTCAACAAAGCAAAGCTGATCAATATTTGGAGTTAGTGCGTAAAGTGGGTATTGAATTGAGAGCGTTACTTTCATCTGTAGATGCTCTAATGGACATATTACCCATATCTGCTCATCGAGAAGTAGAAATGGCACATAAAGTTCTTAGTAAGGATATGGCAGAACTTGTAACTGCCATGAAGCAAGCTCAAAAATACAGTGCTACTACTTTGGATGCAGAATACCGAAAGTAAATATTTTGATCAATACGTACTGGCACATCTCCACGTGTAACAGATAAACGAAAATGTTATGAAACATTTAATGTGATTTCAGAGGAATGCTGTCAGCAGCGCACATTTTAGCAATGGATGCAAAAAATCTTTTAGATGTAATCGACTCGATACGTATTCGATATCCATATGTAGATAGCCAAATTTGTCAAAAGCAAAATCATATTAATACTTCGCAAGAATCGATACCAGAAAGTCGTATTCGTTCCAGTCAATCTGGAGAACAATTTCTGAGGAGAAGTCAATCGAGTGAACGTCAAGGTACAACATTCAGACAGAGTCAAAGCGGTGATCTTTTACATAGAATGGGCCAATCCGTTGATCGTTCATTGCAGGTAAATCATGATTTAAACTTAATTTTATACAACAATTAAATAATTTCAGTGAAATGATATTTTAAAAATATAATTGTCGATTTAGGGTAGCCAAACTGATATTAGTAGTGGCTCTAGTTTAGAAAGAAGGCATCATATCGTCACTAACAGTCTTGAACGTAATTCAACAACAAGAAGACAAATGACCACAAATAGTTTAGAAAGAAAAAGACCATCGTTATCTTGTAATATCAGTCCTATGAATAATTCGGTTAATCTTCCACCAATGGTTCCAGTTACCTGTAATTTAGTCCAAACAGTTGGACCTGTCATTCATCCCAGTCAAACAGTTACAACAGGTATTAATCAACAATCGGTGTTTGCATCTAATAATAAAACGACAAATGAAACGACAACTGATAGCTAACAACGAGGTGCCTTGCATTAAGGTAAAGTTGTTTATTCCATTATGTGTAATTCACATAAAATTTGTTATTCAATTTATTTCACTGCATTTATATTTATTAATTTTAGGAAAACTTCGAAGAAATTGTACATAGACCACATCGTACAAGTTACCCATTTATATCTCATGCATAACTCAGCAGCTGGAGATTTAGTATTTATGCTTTATAGCTCTTTTTAACATTTAACAAACTTTGTCTAAATGTACTTATAGATAGGACAGTATTCGTTAGATGTAATGGTAGAATTATTACTGAAAGGCGTAAGTCACAGCTATACAGAAATCACTCCAAAGCTTTAGAATTATTGTTAATTTGTTATTGTATGACATATATAGGGTGACACAAAAGATATTCTCGAATTTAAAGGATTACAATTGCAGACAATTTTTGTTGATACAAAGCTAATATTTAATATTTTTAAAATGATATTTAAATTTTATTACATATACTTTAACATTATTCAATATTAACTATAACGAGATTTCTATTACAATATCCATTACTTCAGAGATTGTCTTACTGCATCACCCTGTAACTAGTTAAATAATTCTATATATGTAGATAGATTTATAAATATATATTTAAACGAATAGTTTAAAATATTCTGCAAAAATTTAATTTCTTATAGGACACAATCTTTACAAATTGTTTCTATGAATTTATAATTTAATAGTCTATTCTCTGCTAAGAGGAGTGATTATAATTGTAAAAAAATGGGACTGAATGTTATTTCTATTAGATAATTATTTAGCAATTCATACCAATTTGTGAAATTTATATAAAATATTTTATAAAAAATAAAAATCATTCTTCAGCGGCAAGTCAGTTCCTACAAAATATTTCTAAAAATTTCATCTTTGCATAACAATAGTGTTAACACATCAATACAATGCGCTTGTGACATGCAAAAAACATACACAGTGCATTTATGAATCTATTAAATATTCCATAAATATAAAATATTCCATTTTATACATTTATTATTTTGTACGTTCCTGGGAAAATTTAGTTTCTCATTAAATTAAAATTAGAATGATGATTAACCAATTTTTACATTATTCATTATCTTACAGTTTTGAACATTAATGTGCCAAGATGTGTTTATTTAATATAAACAAATTTTGCTATTAACACAAAAAAATGTCCAGTAATATTTTAATGTATCATCCCAGGAATTTGTAATTCATAGTTACGTCATTTGACACTGCTATTGCATCGAAAGTATCACATACTTTTCTCTAGAATTGTGTTAAGTACATGTAAATAAATACTCAAAACTATCATTTAATAATAATATTGATAATTGAGTATTATTTTTAGAAATTTCACGAATGTTTTTAATATTTGACACAAATGAATTCTACAATTTATAATTACTCATTTATCAGAATTCCATTGAAAAATCGATATATCTCGTGGTGTATGTTTATATTGTTTTCATTATTGTCATATTATATAAAGTATATCTTTTGTTTTATAATTTCTTTACATAATATGTAATTATCGTAAGAATATCATGACGAATATCATAATATATAATGATATAATAAAATTATAAGATTTTTTAGAATGATATTATTCTTTACGAAATACGTGACGAAAAAGTTTGAAAATTATATATCTTCGTGAAAAAAATTGATTGATAAATCGAATATGTTTAAAAATTCTTTTTTGTTAAATTTATTCAATTATTTGTACATAAGTCAACTTGAAAATAAAAGCCTAATTTATTTTAGCTTTACAGCTAAAATTCTCTTACAGTTACATTATACAAGGTTTCGAAATTTGTAATGAAATAATAAATAGATAAATTATTTATAATTGTTAGTATGGATAATTGTTCTTGAAAATATAATTTACAAAAAAGAAAAAAATAGATATTGGAACAAAAATATTCTATCATTGATCCTGTTACTGTTATCAGTTAGGTGATAAAGATTAAGAATAAACGCAGTATGTAATATTTAAAAAATATTTATAAAATTGTGTAAATGTAACTATGTATTATGACCATAAGTAAAATAATAAACAATAAGAATGATTTCAACAGAATGAATAATTTTAATCAACTATTTATCATATTTTGAGCTGTAATACTTAATACCATTAATAATTGAAGATCTAGCATATTTAGTTAGAAGAGCGTTAACGTTCATTTTATTTGTTGTTAAATTTCTGAAAAAAAAAAATTTCTATAACAAGAAAGAAAATTGTATTTCATAAGTACAATTCATTTTTACTTACATTATATAGGGTGTTATTTCTTGAACTGTCCATTTCTTTTTTGCTTTAAAAAGTTTGTTAAATCTTTCATCAACATCAATTGGTAAATCAGTTTCTGGAAAAGAGACTATTACTTTTTCCATTAGGTTATTCCATCTAATAAGTGCAATTCCATATAAATATTCCTCTTTTGGTTCTATTTCTATATACAAAAAATATAAGCATTTTACTTATAATGAATAACAAATTCTTTTTACAAAAGTTTCAACTTACTTTCAGGTGTACCAATATTCCATGATTTCATGAACTGTTTGTATTCAGTTATTGGAGAAGCAACAAATAATACTTTTGCTAAAGTTTTACAACATTTCTCTTCATTATATCTGAAGCATTAAAAAAAGTTAAATTAAAATAAAAAAATTAAAAATTAAAATAAAAAAATATATTTTATATTTCAAAAAGAATTTTATGTAAGTTGTTTATACCTATATAATGGTGTTCCATCCTTCTTTGATTTTTCACTTATTTCTGTATATTTTGTAAATAAAATATTAAAAACAGGTTTGTAAATAAGTTCTTTTAAAAATTCATATGTAATTTCTTTATCTACTTCATCTATTTCCCAACTATTTTCCTCGAAAAGATCTAACATAAGTGTTAAACTTCGAGCCTCAAATTCAAATGATATAAGACGAAAGTAACCTCGAGAACAAAAGATAAAAAATAATGTAATTTTTTATTGAATGTAATTAATATATAAATAATATAATTAATTTCCACTTAATACCAGATATGTGATATTTAATAATTTATAAAACATAATACCATCAATATTGGTTATTAAATAATCGTTTAAAGCCTGAATTAATTCAGCTTCACTGGCTTGTATTTCATTTTTTAATCTGTGCCAATCGTATAAAAGTTCATGAGATATTGACGATTCATATTCTATTCCTTTAAAAGATGTAGGCTCAAGTACATTAAGTAATTTTTCCAATTTAGGTCTGCACTCTTTTACCTTTGGTATTTTATATATTTATTTACAAATAGAAATTTATACCAAACATTTGTAACATTTACAATATATAAACATATCAATAATACATTAATCTACGCACCTCATAATATGTATGAAAAATCCCAGAAATATTATGAGCTTCTATTGTTCGGTTTGTATCTACATTTGACTGTTCAGATAAACTTAATTTTGGTACTAACAAATAGGAATTAGATGTTCCTGCTTCTTTAATATCATACGTTCGATGTTTTGTGCATAATACTACAAGATCTTCTTCAGTACCCTGAAATGTTAAACTAAAATGTTGCATAAATTATTAGCAAAAAATTTACAAATTCAAGTAGATGCATACCTATCTCCTTTGTTTACTGTTTCTAGTAAATGATCATCAAGTTCTAACAGTTTTATGTGCTCCTCCACATTAGGCTCTTTTGTGGAATATAAAATTTGGGTTACCTTTTGCAAATCAGATTCTTTAATGAGAGCTAATTTTAAGCTTTCTTGCACTTCTTCCATTGTTCTTGGATAGCTATAGAAATAAAAATCAAAGTATATCGTTTATTAAAATAATAAATTAAATATATATATTTGTATGTGAAATGAAAATATATGAATATGTAATAATAGTTACCTAGACTCAACTGATTCCATGATATGAAATTTGAAAAGGTTAGTAGTCGAAGTGAAAAACTGAGTTGTCGTTTTGGATGACGATATTTATATAAATAAAATACACAAAAACTACAAATTTTATATTAAAACCATATATATTTTATAAATTTCTACGCACTAATTTTTCTTCGTCTAATCGTAGAATAAATCAAACTGAAGATAGAGAAGTAGTTTCGATTTGTCGAGACTTATACAATATCACCAGCAGCCATATTAATTGCCATTGCACTTATTAAGAAACTTTGTTGTGAACAAAAAGTCTGAATTTGTACAATTTTTTTTCACTAAGGTACGTACATTTTTCTACTCAAAAGTAAAATGTAATGACAGATATTTTCGTCAAAGAAAAAATATAATTGTAAATGTAATGTACAGCCTGACTGTAATAGTGACTTGTTTTCTATTTTATACTTCTCTTTTAGTATTACTTTTTTCATTAACTTTTGATAATACATTTACTAGCAAAGATATTTGCTACATTAATGATACATTATGTTTGTAAAATGAAACCTCTTGTATTAGTAATCAAATTAATTTTGCTATTTTTGTAAAGTGATGCAGCAAAAATTAACCTTAAAGAACACAAATAAAAAAAATATACAAGATACAATGGTATTGTCACAAGTCGTACTTAGTTATAAACGAAGATATCAAATTTAAAAAAAAAAATGTTCTGAAGTATATATTTTCTTTTTTATATGATAATCAATAACAATAACAATAATAATAAAAATTATGAATCTGTTTTTTCTAGAAAGATAAGCATAACATAAAATCTAAACATGTCAAACGATGTGAACAGTCAAGCTGATAAGGTATGTTTTGTTTGAGATATTATGCATGCTAATTTTTTTCATGACAGCTGGGATATGTGAAGTGTATTTGTAAAAAATATATGTGCTGTTACAATTGGGCTGCTATCATAACTGCAATTTCATTAATTCTTCTAATTGGAAAACAAGAAAATTATGGTAAACAATTTGTTGATTAATGCTAATTTTTCTTTGGATCAAGCCCAATGAGGAAGAAAATATCGATAAAGCAGAAGAAGAAGAAGGCACTTCATCTATTGATCTGCATGCGGTACCTATTTCTGCAAATTAAAATTTTGCTGCTTAATGATCTTTTTCTGTTTGTTATATTCCTTGCCTTTTGTTACTAACAGTAGTGTAGTTGTATGGTAGTTAAAAATATTAACTATAACATATGATGGCACAAATAACATAATATACAAATAATGGGATAAACTTTTAGCAAGAAAGTGGAATTGTATATGGTGGTTGTGAAGGACCAAATGCAATGTACGTAAAACTTGTCAGCAGTGATGGACATGAATTTATTGTTAAACGTGAACATGCATTAACCAGTGGAACAATAAAAGCTATGCTAAGTGGACCTGGACAATTCGCAGAAAATGAAGCCAACGAAGTTAATTTTCGAGAAATTCCGTAAGTTTTTTAATTTTCTTACAATAAAATTTAATTATATTCAAGAAATGTAATGAAATATTTAATTTAATTTCTGTTTACAGATCTCATGTATTGCAAAAAGTTTGCATGTATTTTACATACAAAGTACGCTATACAAATAGCAGCACAGAAATACCAGAATTTCCTATTGCACCTGAAATTGCATTAGAATTACTGATGGCTGGAAATTTCCTGGATTGTTAAGTGTCGCAAATAATATTAATAACGAGCAATTCAGCTCTGAGACATACCAATTTTATTGGTCATAATTTAGATTTCAAAAATGAAGAATTCAACACGGTTTTAAAAAAAATTCATACTTTGTATTTTGCAGTATAGTTATTATTTTAGAAATAAATTATCATAATGAATCAAACAATTTGAAATACAAACATAAAGTTAAAAAAATTAATGCTACATTAATAAATATTTGAAACGAAAATAATAGGAATTTCAATTAATAAGAGACTTAAATTTGCTGCATATACTATCTGATTATATTTAATATATATTCAGTAATGCAATAAGTTACTGCACCTAAATGAAATTTCTATTGAAAAACGATGTGCTGATATAATATTATACATATGTACATGCATGTCTATTTAATATACAATTACAAAAAAAGATTTATATTATGTACAATTGATGCAGAGTTCAATTAGATTGTATACTAACAAAAATTTTTACTTTTGAATCTATTGATATATTATAGTTATATTTTTCGTTATACATAAGAATATTTATTTTTGGCTTTTATTCCTATTACAAATTACTTCATATTTATTATTTTCTAGCAACTTCCATAATTATATCTTATATTTTTTACATAGAAAATAACACATAGATTATAAGTAGAATATAATATATATATATAAAATTAGATACATATTATGTGATATAATATAAGAGAAAGAACACACAACACAGTTTTACAAAATCTTGCAACTTACAAAAAAATGTATGTGTGTGAGACTGTATTCTAATATAGTTAATTATAAAAATTAAAATTAACTATTTGTATTTCTTACCTTTGTTGTAACAAATATGATATTAATTTTATTAATTTTCTTATTTGAACAATAAATAATACAATGTTCGTATTAATTACATTTTTAATTTTGATCAATTATTTGTTCTATTTGCTTTTGGTATCTTTTTCAATGTCCTTAAACTTCATTTCTAATCGTTTTGAATACGCTGCCAATTTATATGCAGCTTGTTCTAACTTGGTTACACTATCGTCAATTTCATTGATATTATCTAAGATTGGCTGTAATTTTTTATATTTCTCATTTAAGGAATCCAAAGATTGCGCTACACTAGAGGATATTGTCTTCAATTCAGTATATTTCGCAATAGTTTCTTTATTTAAGCGTTCTAATAAGCGGTAATCGGCATGAGTGGAAGTAAGTTCTTCTTGCAAATATTCACCAGTTTTTTGAAACATCGTATTAGCTAAACGACTAAGATTTGGATCATGGGGATCCAATGCTTCGAAGCTACTTGTGCTTGTCGAAAGCGTAGTTCCTCGTTTCGGCGATCCACATCTTGAGTTATGATCTGCTGAATTTTCCATATAAGATTGTTCAATTTGAACATCTTCTCTTAATGGATCTTTGACAGATGTCATTGTTACAGTAAATAATTATCCGCTTAAAAAGAAACAATATATAACCTCTTCTGTAGAAAATTACTGCGCTACCTATTATTTTCTAGCTGAAACTACAGGTGAGGCATAAATTTCACATTCAATATTTTTTCATGCCGTACTACTCTTTTCATTTGCTAACTGTTCGCTCAATTATAATTATATTCCGATATATATTGCATCCCAGAAGTCGTAATCTCTTGCGATTTTGATTTTAATATTAACTAAAAATCTAGTCAATGTTTTTAACCGAATACAATAGATGGTAACACTCTGCTTGTTGACAAGTTTAGATTAATTCCACCATTTCACCACTATGTGGTGATAGTGTTTCAATATTTATAAATCGATCAAGTTTTTACTTGCATAAAACACTAATTAAGATTTGTTTATAATCTTTTGTATCTGTTTAATTGGAATCACAATTTTTTTCTTTTATTTATTTATATATCTAATATGTAGTAGCATTGACTAAGGAATAATATTTTTTGAAGATTGAATCACTATTGAATCACTATTTTTAGTCAATATAGAATTCTATATTTGATCTGTAATTATCATCCTACTCTGTATTAATATGTAATTTAAAATTTAAAATAGTACAGATAAAAATTATGTGTTAGACTTATTTTATCTTTATTCAATGATCAAGATTACTATCGATAATATTGTAATTACATATCAATTATCAATAAAACATTCATTTTAACAAATAAAATTAAAAACATTTTAATATTTACAAAATTATTCTATTAATAGATGATCACTTTATAACAATAGAAACATATGTCTTATGGCACAATAATATTAACTATAAAAATAATTTTTTTCAAGAAAATCATTTACTGATTTTTATAAAAAGTTTTGGATTTGTGACATATAAAACAAGTATGCATACATATTCAGACTTTGGTTTAAACTTTGGTAACCAGATACCACCATGGCTTATGTTAATTGTTTAAAATAACTGAATTATATATATATACATATATACGTATAAATGAAATATACTGTTTAAAATATTTAACATTTTTTTATAATGAATATTTCAACAATTTTTACTAGTGTTTATAACCATTTGGATTATTTTGTTGCCATTTCCATGTATCTAAACCTACAATAGTAATAAATTGCAATCTTATTAATTACTACAGAAACAACAATTTTTCATTTATCAGTAAAACAATAGTAAAACTTACACATATCATCTATATTTTTGGTAGCTTGCCAACCTAGTTCTTTATTAGCTAAACTAGCATCTGCATAACTAGCAGATATATCTCCTGCTCTACGTTCAACTATTTTATATGGTATCTTTTGTCCTGATGCTTTTTCAAATGCTCGTATAACTTCTAGTACAGAATAGCCTTTTCCAGTACCTAAATTAAACACTTTAAATCCAATACAGTTATGAATTTTTTGATAAATCATTGCTTTTACATGACCCATAGCTAAGTCTGTTATATGAATATAATCTCGAACACCTAAAGATTAATTAATGATTAATATAAATAGTTTTAATTAAAGTAGTTACCTATCAATTTCATATAAATATTTTAGTTTCCCCTATCCCACCTGTTCCATCAGGAGTATCATAGTCATTGCCATAAATATATAAAACTTCTCTTTTGCCTACAGATACTTGGGCAATGTATGGCATTAAATTATTCGGTATCCCATTAGGATCTTCTCCAATTTGCCCAGAAGAATGAGCTCCAACTGGATTAAAATATCTTAGAGATATAACAGACCATTCCTGAAAACTTTTAATAATATATATTTAATTCTATTTCAAATGAAAAAACAGAAGATAAAGATAAAACTTGGCACCTGGTTTGAAGTACACAAATCTTTTAAAATTTCTTCAACCATATATTTTGTTTTTCCATAAGGATTGGTGCAATTACCAGTTTTCATATTTTCAACTAATGGTAATTTTTCAGGAATGCCATAAACTGTAGCACTACTTGAATATACAAAACATTTTACATTGAAGTCTCTCATGACTTTTAATAAATTCAATGTTCCACAAACATTTATCTTATAATATTCTAATGGCTTTTCACAGGATTCACCCACTGCTTTTAATGCAGCAAAATGTATAACAGAATGAAACTTATGCTAAAATAGAATTATTTCAGTTATTTAGTTTCATTATATATTCATACTTGATAGTATTTATAATCATACCTTCTTAAATATGTCTCGTAATTGATTCAAATTTGTTACATCACATTGAATAAACACAATTTTTTTATTTGTTAATTTTTCTATTCTTAGTATACATTCTGGTTTTATGTTTTTATCATCTACATATAAAAAAACACAAATACATACTATATAATATATGATATATATATATAGCTTATAGTAGTATATAATATTATATTATAATAGTATATAATATTATATTAAATCTTTTTCACACATGCATTTTAAAAAACAAACACGTGTTACTAATATTAATTACATAGTGATTGGTACAAATATTAAACATCCTATATATTTGTTATGCGCCTAAAATCCTTTGAAATATTGTTATCCAAGTTTAATAAATCACTATTAATTCATACCTATAAGATACTGCTTATTGTTTCATAATAATATGAAGAAATTTGTAAGAAATAATCATCATTTTTTTAACTTGATTCATCATTTCTCACCTTTGTAAGCATTACTAAGATTGTCTATTACCACCACCTCAAAATCTGCTTGCAACAGTTCCAATACTGTATGAGAACCGATGTACCCAGCACCTCCCGTCACCAATACTTTCCAGGATCTGTTTGCCATAGTGTCACACTGCTTTTCTGTTATTTTTAATGTATTATTCTACAATTATAGTGCTTCTACCATATTAGAAAAAATCTATCATTCACACATATTACACAGCCAAAACTATGTTAATGGAGTGTTAAATACGAATAAGATAAGAATAATTAAATCACTCACTAATAATTATTTTTAAATATTTTACTACTAATTAATCTTCAATTCATACATAATTATGACATATGACATTACATATGATACATATCTACATATATATATATATATATATTTATTTATTTATTCCAAACCATTTTTTTCAGTTACTAAACAATCCATATATACAAGTATATAAAATTCCGTAAAAGAAATTTGACTATAATATTTAATATATATAAAGTTACATATTTCTATAAAGAAGAAAATTAATATCGTACCTTATTCCGTAACACGTATGCAATTAACCTTACTTTCCAGTCGTAAAACCCTATGTTTAAAGTAATATCAACGTGATAAGAGATTATATTCCGATTTAAAATTATATAATGATGCGTCATTGTTAGCATTGTTTAGATACTAACTATTCAATATTTCCAACAATCAGGAACTGAGAAATTTCATTCTAACATTTGCCAATTTCTTAGTTCTATCATACATAATATTGACATTTCTTTATAATAAACAATTTCTTTATTACAAATTTAATATTTATAATTAATATAAATTCTGATAAATGATTCATACACTTAAATTTTGTACAATAGCAATAGTTAGGAAAAATCTTGTAACGAATTCAACGAAAAAAACGAGTAATATATGATTGCAATCTATCATAAACAAGAAAAATTGCACTTTTATAAACTGGATTGTAGATATTGCATAGTTCTTATTGTTAGTTAGTTCTTATTATTGAATTATATTTTGGAAAAGAAGAAATGATTATATAAAAGGTCCGCTCGTTTAGAATTAATTATAACTACCCTTCATTATTATTCAACTATTCTCTTTTTTAAAAATATGTCAATATATTTTTTAACTTACGAAATATGCTGAACTATGTTTAGTATTCATCTTTCAAATCTTTCTCATATTTGTTTAAAATTTTAATTAAAAAATGTGATTATTAATACAACTCTATCTTCTACTAATTGAATCAACTAAATTAAATTTTCTCAATTTAATTAATTTATACAAAGATATTAAGAAAATATAATATTAATACGAGAATATAATATTATTACTACCATTTGTAAATACCCATAAATATGCCTGACTGTATGATACATGTACATTATTTGCGGGAAAACACTCCTATATTACAAAGGAGAACACCTTTGTCAGAGCTTGTAAGCACACGAAATGAGAGTTATTAAAATATATTTGACATGTATACTTTATCAATAATGTGATTATATTTTACGGCAAATAAAGAAACCATAAAAAATGAAGTAATTATTTAATTACAGTTTGTTTAATATTAATGTACATATAACATTTAAGTTCAAAATTATTATCAGTTGTAGTTGTGATTACACCACTACAATATATGTTTTTATATCTCATTTATATCATGTTTTGTACTGTTTATAACATTTATTATTTAGAATAATATACGACAAAATTAAAGAATTTCATATACAAAATTCGATTACTTATATTGAATAGTAACAAGTAATCGAAATTTTTTTTTATAATAGATGAATCTCATTTTAATGTTCTAGTGGATGAATCAAGACTTCGAGAAATCTTCGTAGTGAATTGATCCTCTTACACTTCAAAATGCTATTCCTTTCTATTTCTCACGAATGAAACGTGCTGTTAACTCCCCCCTTTGAAAAAGATGTTGGTCCAATCAGGAGTTGCCCTCACGTTCCCGCGTCTGAACCTTAAAGTCCTAGCATCATCCTCAATCGTTTCTTGGATCACAGGTCCGCGATCGTAGCCATATTGTTTGTACGGGATTTTCCCTTAAGATCGTAGATCTCTCATATCAGTAAACAAGATAAAGTGCCATCGTAAGAATTGTTCAATAAGATTGTGTGATTTAATGTAAATATGCTTCCGAAAACCGGTTATTACGAAAAATAATTAAATACAAATATAAGACTATTATAATGATCTATTGAACTGTTACATTTTTTTCCGGATGTTAGAAACCATAAAGTGTAAGAGAAATATGATCATGGCAACAAGTAGCAAGCTAAATCAATTAACAATGGAGAAGAGTGTGTAAGAAAGCTTATTCTGGTGTAGTCACGGACAAGGTTTCATTGGAATGCCCCATTCCATGTTACGGCACTGTGCCTTGTAAAATGCGGTGGCCCCGCAGCGAGAAAAACGGGGGCCCGGCTGAACACATTAGTTCTCGGGAGTGCAATATTGCTAGTATGTCCAGGATTTCGATAACGAGTGATAAGTGTCTACGCGGCTAATGTTTAGTTGTTTTTGTTTTGTTTCTTTTTCTTCGTAAAATTATGCTCTCGTGTTTTAATTCGGTTGCTGACAGCTGGAACGCGAGCATATCACGCGATCGTACAGAGTTACAGCAGTAAACCGAGGCTGTCGACTTTTAATACTGTGACGAGGCCCAAATTGTTCGCGAAGACGAATACGAAACTCATCATATGTTCAGACGATTTGACAATAAAAAAAAAAGCTTAAGATTATTTGAATGTTTGTAATTACAATTTTACAAAGTGTAAGTGTATGTTGCATTGAACTGACGTACGAAACGCCGCTGAGAAGAGAAAGGACGAGGAAATATTCTGAATAAAAGCGCATAAATATTCTGAATAAAAAAGAAATTTAGCGAAACTTGTAAGGAATCGAGTGACAGTGATACGAAGAGACTAGGAGATTCTAGAAAGAGAAAGAAAAGAAAAACTTGTAAGGAATCGAGTGACAGTGATACGAAGAGACTAGGAGGAGAAGACTAGGAGATTCTAGAAGGAGAAAGAAAAGGAAAAGGGAAGAAATCTGAGAAAACATAAGGTGAAGATTTAGTGGACAACAAGGTAAGACTCACGGAGGTAAGGCACATATCGCTTGGGCCACCTCTTAAGTAGTATATCCGATCTTAAGAGAGAGCAGGAGAGTAAGAAAAGGAGAGACCGTACGGTGACCCAGATTTTAGCGGGTCGAACGAGACAGGCCGACACGAAAAAGTCGCGGTGGACTTTTTGAAATGGGACACAGCGCAGCCTGGAGCTAAATTAGCCGCGATGTCCAATAAGAGTAAGTCCCAGCCGCAGCAGCAGCATCCTTCGCACGTGATCAAGTCGGCAGTGGAACAAGTGCCACCACGATATCAGCCACCACCGCAGCCAACCAGCGGTATCCTCAAGAATCATCCTCACTTTGGTACAGGCCCTACCGTGCCAACCTCGGTGTCTACCGCTGGTCAAGGTACCGTCGCGGCCTTGAATCATCATCAACCCGCCCAATCGCGGCCTGTGACACAACAGAAGGATGTGCAGAGTAAATATTCACCGAGGATAGAACATCGGCATCATCCTCAAGGTGGAAACACATTAACTGCGCCCGTCTCAAAAACGCAGTCTCATAGTTACCTTCAGGCCAAGGTCGGCCAAGGTCAATACCTGCCACCTAACGGTCAATATCCCACGGTAAATACTGCACAGACACCACCGCTCAGACAAAGGATCACCGACGACGAGTTTCTTAGACTCGGACCTGTGGAGATGCTCAAATTTGTCCGCAAGACCGAGAGCGATATCGCAAGGCTCGCCGCTGAGCAGAATCGACAGATACAGAACTTGGTGAGTTCCACTAATTTTTTACCTTATCTTTTGTCATCAAGTAAACAATTTTGAGCACTATAACAAGCGAAGGATACATCGATGAGAGAAATAATATATACTAAAATAATAATTATAATTTTCTTTTCAATTAACATCAAGATATCTTTGTTTTATTACTTAATTTCGCGAAAAAGATACGATTCATGATTTTAAGCACGTCACACGGAAGTTTTTGAGGGTCTTTTATAGGTCACACTGGTCGAGCCCACCATCATAATTTGAACCAGTCACGCACATATGAGTCCAATTGCGAATACTCTCCATTACGATTGGTTTTTTTTTTCACTAAAAACTAATCAGTCAAAAACAAATGCGTGTTTTAGAAACTTGGAATTATTCATAAAATTTACTTTTATCCCATACTGATTAGATAGGAATTCAGTTTGTAATAAAACAGCGAACGAGTGTCGGTGATTTACGTATTCGTATTTCAGCTTAGCGAGCTTCGAGCATTAAAAGAAGCAAATCAAAGATTAAGCGATGATAATCAAGAGCTGCGAGATCTTTGTTGCTTTCTGGATGATGATCGTCAGAAAGGTCGGAAATTAGCGAGAGAATGGCAAAGATTCGGAAGATATACGGCAAGTGTTATGCGACAAGAAGTATCTGCCTATCAGAATAAATTGCGACAATTGGATAACAAACAGCAAGAGCTAATTAAGGATAATCTAGAGCTAAAGGAACTTTGTCTTTATTTGGATGAAGAAAGAGGAGGTGGTCAAAGAGACGACGGAGATGGTTCAAGTTCAAGTACGAATGCTGAAGAAACCGCGCCGCCGAGACCAAGACATACATCTACGTTTAATGGTAGAATAATCATGTTCATTGTGTTGATTATAGATGTAAACGAATTATCACGTTTATTACAGAATTTGTATTTCAAGAATTTATAAATCTTCGGAATTTATATTGCAGACCAAACTATGCAATACGTGAGAAGTTTAGAACAGCGGGTAAAGCAACTCGAAGAAGATAAGAGTCTTTTACAAGCAAGAGCACAGGGTTGGGAAGTACCACCTGGTGAAATCTGGGAAAATCAAAACAGTCCTGGCGAAAATACTCACATAGGAGGCCGGCCAGAAGCAGTGGTCCGAGCTCTTCAGGTTCTTGAAGTTCGAGAACAATTAGAAAGAGAAGGCGGCCACGATGGAGAGAAAGCATTAGTTAGAGAAATGTGCAATGTAAGTTATTGTCCCGATATAAAGATTTCATTTTGGAAGAAATTGAGAATTAATTGTATTAATAATAATATGTGTTTTATTGTTAGGTTGTTTGGCGGAAATTGGAGGAAGGTCCACAAACGAGGCATTGATAATCGTATTGTAAGCGTGATTAATTAAACCACAATGTCGGTGCGCGGTCTGTTAATTCGGATAGCGTATTTAATAGTATTACAGTCATTAATGCAAATGTTATGAATTTTATAGATTTATACGCATGTACCTATAAATATTTCGATGTAAGAGTCAATGTGCGTAGTTTGCAGTATTTATATAAATATTGTAGTGCCGTTAGATTGCCTACATAAATTGTTAACAAACTTTATTTTTATTATAAATTAAGGATAATTTATTTTTGCATATCCCGAAAGTCCTATTCTAGTATCCCAAAAACACGCCAACGATTAGTTGGTAATTAGATGGCGATGTACATATATTTTATCCTTGCAAAAACACAGTAGGACAAAGAATGCCATTCAAAGAACTACCTCGTACACGAAATAATCATGTACGAAGTTTACATTACATCCATATCCACAAAAGAGAACTGTTTGTAGACTGATTTCTATTTTTAGTCTATCAAAGAAACTTCCTTTCATAGCATTTTTTCAGCAAGAGTGAAACTATATACTACTGCCCTATGGTTTTCTGCAACACTGTTTATAAATCATTTAGTTTTGCAATAATATAAAATGCAGTATTGTTTAAATAATGGAATTAAAATTTTACTATTTGTCATCTTAATAAAATATCGATACGTCAAATGTTAGTTGTATGTAGAAAATACAATTAATTAAGAAAATCATTATAAAGAAGTAATCAAATTATGAGCGTAGCTTAAATTCAAAATTGATCGTAAAGTCCGAGTCGCTGTAGATTTGATGTATCTTGGTAATCTTCGTTGACGATACATCTGTAGATCTTCGCGGATGTTCGTCGCCGAGTTTGCGCCAACCAAGATGAAAAGTGAAGGTGGGGATTGCAACTAGTCTCTTATATCCGGAGAGATAAGAATTGTCGGTGATGTGCGTGCCCACTGGCCTCGGAGAGGACAACGCAAGGTTCATCCTTCTTTTTGGGGTCCTGGCAGTGTACATGCTAGCCGGCGCTGCAATCTTTCAACAACTAGAGGCTGATCTTGAAGTGCGACAGGTATTTTTTATTTTCCTATTATTTTTTCATTTAAGTTCCGAATTATTCTAGTCTGTGTTTTTGTTGTACTAATTTTAATTTTGTTGTACTAATTTTAATTTAAAATACAAGCATAAATCTTAAAGTAAAAGTAAGTACATGTAATACTCAAATTCTGTTCACTATATAGACTGCAGAATTTTGGCGCGTTTATCATACTTTCCAAAGATACCATTTGCAAGGTGGTCCAATTGCTCTTCAAAGACTGAATGAATTATTATATGCATATGGAAATGCTTCATCTTCTGGTGTCATTAATAAGAGCCGACGATGGGATTTTTTTGGCAGCTTTCATTTTGTGGGTACTATAGTTTCCACAATTGGTAAGATACGCATATATTATGACTTATTTGAAACCCCGAGCATTTCATCTTATAATGTATCTGAACCGTAATAATGGGTCAGTAGAACGCCAGCCAGACGCACATACTGGCCTTTATCTTATGCTTTTCTTCTTTTTGTATTATTTTTTAGAAAATTGTAAACTTCAACGTATCAATAATTTATAATATTCGCCCTATATACTGTGTATCTTGCACATTTGATTATTTTCCAATAATATTTATTGACGACTGTATTATCGCGTAAAACTTGGTCATAAGAACGTTGAAAAAAAAGGGTAAGGGTCGTCGTCCGCAACACACATAAGAATGTGCCGGTGAATTCCAGAATGTTAATATCTTGCGACCTAGTCTTGTAGCTATCCTCTCCAGTAGTAGTATGTAAATCGATGTTTTGTACTGCATTTATATTCATTTTAATTTTAAAGTATATTATAAATTATTATTAATTTGTTTCTCAGGATATGGGAACACTACACCGCAAACAAGAGCGGGTAAAGTAGTTGCCGTTCTATATGGTTTTCTTGGTTGTTCCGGTAGTACAATAGTTTAATCATTAAAAATAAATGTTATTATGCACATTTAATGCACATTATAATTTTTCTCATTATTTTTTTTTTTTATAATGCAGGTGGGATTTTATTTTTCAATTTGTTTCTCGAAAGGATTATCACTTTACTTGCTTGGATTCTACGGACCATACACATCCATCGTATAAAAAGGCATATCCGAAAAAATTCATTGATCTCTCGACATTCGTTCGGATCATCCAAAAATGAGAAATCTTCTTTACCAGACATACTTGATGACGATTATTTAGATCTAAATGAATGGAAACCAAGCGTATATTGGGTCATGCTATTTTTATCAATAATATGTTGTATGATAGCTTGCTGCGCTGCTGCAGTTTATGTTCAATTCGAAAATTGGGAGTATTTCGACGCTCTTTACTTTTGTTTCGTTAGTTTTGCAACTATTGGTTTTGGAGATTTTGTTAGTACACAAAACTTGTACTACCCTTATATTCATTGGTACGTCTCGCGAAATCTATTTGATAATATATGCTATAGTACTGATATAAAACTTTCCCGCATACAGGTACCGTTTTATTAACTTCATGTTTTTGCTGATTGGTTGCTGTTGCACATACTCCTTATTGAACGTGACTTCGATTATAATAAAACAAGGATTAAATTACATTACACAAAAAATAGAATGCAAAAATCAGAAAATGGCCACAACACATTTACCAAAGAGAAAGTCTTCCTTGTCTACGATTTATTTTTCAAAAAGAAGAGGAACAAGGGTAGTAGCAAGAGATTCATTTAAATCTGATTATTCGGAAACTTCAAGAAGAATGTCTGGAGAACTGATTTCTATGCAGGATTTTTTTTCAGCAAACAAAGTTTCGTTGGCCGTAATGCAAAAGGAATTATATGAAATGGCTCAGTTACAAAAGGACACTAATTTGAATACGACCGCATCTAACACTAATGTCCTTAAATCTGATGCAGTTGGCCCTTTGGCCATAGTTAGTGAAAAATTTAAGAATAAAATTCCAAGAAAGAAATAAAATAATTACGAACTATTAAGAGAAATTAATTTATTCAGTATTTTTTCTCTTATTGTTAATATAAATTTACTTGATATCTTTCAGTATTAATTAGTAACATAATAATTTTAAATAAAGAGAAAAATATAAAAATATTCTTGTAGCATAGCCAACCAAGTAAAGAATTGTAGGATTTAATTTTACGGTATAATAAATCGTACATAGATCAGTCATCGGGTAACTTTATTTAAGTCACGTTACAATACAGTTCTCCATGTACTCAACAACATTAACAAACATGCATTCTTTTGTCTTTGTTTTTTTTCATAATATTTATCATATTATGCACATATAATGCATGTAAAACAAATTTCAAATTCTCTTGCCAATTTGTGATATATGAAATTACATTCACGAAATTATGGTTTGGAATATTAATAGTTGGTATAATTTGATAAATCGGCAAAGTGCAACAGACCACAACACTATTAATTTTACATGCATCATAAAATCACAAAGACAAAAGTTTTTTTCTCTAGATAACTATTATACCTTCAACTTCAACCAAATATTTCAATTCGATGAGTAAGACGGATGCTAAAACTCTGACACTAATCCGCGTTAGTGTGAAACCAGTAATTCTGAAAAGTTTACGCGAAAAAAAAATTTGATTGATCGAAAATCTAGACCGAAAACACATATTGTTCTCTAAACGAGAATCGATGCGAATAATCATGACAGAAAGTTATAAATTACGAGAAAGAGTAAAAGTGATCGGGCGATTCTTTACAGACTACAACATTTTGTGTAATCTACAGACTGTTTTATCGTCAAAGTCAGATGTAACATGTAAATACTACGATCAGGTCTATAAAAAAAAAATCACATAGTATAGACGAGATTATACTGATCTAAGATTCTTCGCATTTTCCAAATTTAAGCTGCGTTTAAATTTCACTTTAAACTTGAAGCTCAAATTCGATCACTCTAACATCCATAATTGAATCACATCGAATTGAAGCTTTTTTGAAATTTTAAAAGAAACTACTAGAGTTAATGCCAGTGATGTATCGACAATAAGAGGACTTGTTCTACCTGTTTGCGCTCTGTACTCATAATACTTTGAGCAAAGATCTCAATAACTAACATTCCCATTGTATTAAGTCTTAAATCTCCATGTTTGTGTTTCCCATTGTGTGTTAACATTTAAATCTTCGTCCATGTTTTCGCCCTGAGGCTGAAAGTATTCGTAAAATAGTGTGTACTCCGTTTCAATAAATTTGTTCAAAATTGTGACCGAATTACGGTCATGACATCATTGTCAACCATACAACCAACAAAATAGCGTTCAGTGTTTCGCACTGACGCTAACCAAGCTGTGCTCCAAATACTTCCCAGCGGAGAATCAATTACCCCTCATGGGCACCAATACCCTTATTTGGCAACAGCAGCAAAAAACACAGTGTTTCTTTACTGTGCACAAACTCGTGAGATTCATATCTCATTAAATTGACAAAACCTCTCATTGAGGTTGCCACAGATCTTTTCAGCGTATGTCGCGCATACGAACAAATTGTTGCCCAACTATTTCTAACCCATTGCTTATTAGATCAACATCATCAGATATTTTGATTATTCTTGGTTTAAAGAAATCTGAATTTGTTTCACACGTCTGAATATAATCGGACAACACAAAGTGATCTTCAATAAGTACCGGTGGCTGGTTTTGATTCTGTCGATTACGTGAACGCGGTACTTGATCAGCCGGCTCCATTAAATTAGAGTGCTTTTTTCTTTGATGTTGTAAAAGTTTTGCCTTATAAAAATAAAATAAAAATAATTTTTAGATTAAAATATAGTAATTAAATTTAAATATAATAAAAACTACATATAAGGTATAACTTACCTTACTAGCATATTGTTTATGACACCACTGACAACTCTGTGGTGTAGTTGTAATGCTACCAACAGTTTGACTAAATGTTGGATTTGGTAAATCGGAGTAATCTGACTCTTTCTGTCGATTACTTGGTGGTAAAGCAGCTCCTGGATGATTTTTCATGATATGTGCTTTACGTTTACTGCTACTTTTATAGACCTGTAGAGTATATAATATAGAAAATTTATAAAATAAATAGATAAATTTATTGTGTCAATGAATATAAAGAGGCACCTTATCACAATATTGGCAATAATAATCTCGTGTTTGACGTAAAATTGGTAAATTTAATTCTGGCACAGATTCTGGTGCAACATCTGGGTGCCTTTTTGCCAAATGATTCACAAGCATTCCCCTTCGTTTAAAACCCACCAAACATTGATGACATTTATAAACGAAACGATTGTAATCATTAGGGTTTACCTAGTAAAAATATGTAAATTATTAGTAAATATTATTTTTTGTTAGATAACTTTTTTAACAAATAAAAATATACTTTTGGAACAAATTTTTTAGTTTGTGTAATTTGTGACATTTGTTCTTCAGTAGCTGTTTGCGAATTATGTAATTTTGTCATATGTTCTTTTAATTTGTCTTTTCTTTTAAATTGTTTTCCACAATTTGCACAGTGAAATTCTCTGTAAAAATAAAAAAAGTTATGTTATAATACAAATTGCATGTTCTTTTGTATCCTATATAAATTTTACTATACCTATGATCAGAATGTTTTAGTAGATGCATTTGTAATTTATCTACTGTAGCAAATCGCTTTGCACAAATTTGACATTTGTGTTTTCTTTCACAATGATGTGCTCTAATATGTTTACGAATAACCGAATATTTAATAAATATTCTTTGGCAGTAGGGACAGCTAAACGTGCCATTTTCATTTTTATGAGTTTCAATATGATCTTTTAACATTATGCTTTGACTAAATAATTGTCGGCACATTGGACATTCGAATACTTGTTTATTTTCTGAATAACAGAAAAAAATAAATATAATGTGAAAAATATAAAACTGAAATTTAATGTAATGTCATTTAATGTATGTAAAGTGTAATTCACCTCTGTGTGTTTTTAAGTGACAAGAGAGTGCTGAATTATTCATGAATCTTTTGAAGCAAATATTGCATGGCAGTGGTTTTTGGTCTTCAGCACCATGCACTAAGCAGTGCTGTTGCAATCGTACTTTTGTTGCGAAACGTTTATAACACATTGAACACTTATATGTAGACAAAGAAGTCAATCTTTTTGCTTTCTTTAAAGATAATCTCCCATGTTGGGAAATATGATTGATTAATTCTTTTTCTTTTTGAAACTGTAGTCCACATTGTGGACAAACTGTAGATTGAATTTTAGTTTTAATTTTATCAGAACCATGGACAAGAGTATGTAAATTAAGTAAAAGTGGTTTTCTAAAAATTAAACCACACACAGAACATTTCCATTCTTTAGAATTATTTTGTCTTGAATTTTCTTTCTCTTTTAAATTTCTACCGCGAAATACTTTTATACGTCGGGAATGATTATCATCTAGTCGTGACCAAGTAGATATCTGATTTTTGTGCTCTGTAATTGAAAATTGCATAAATATAAATAAAAATCCGAATATTATGTTTATATATACCTTTATCATCTTTTATTTCTTGCGTAGATTTGAGCGGTATTAAATTTCTACGAATTGCATAGTCAGTACTAGGACCAGCTTTTAATTCTTCTTTTGGTAAAATACTTCTTGTAGTCAAAAATACTATTCCATCACGTTGTTGACAAATTACCAAATTTTGATCTTTATATGTTAATGCAGGTCTAACAAAACGCATCCAATTTGAAGCATCTGTATTATTAATAGAATATTTTAAATTAGATATTTGTATTTTATTAAATATATCTTGAAATTATTTAACACCTACTTTCATTTGAAACATCTACTTTTAAAAATTCTTTATTTTCAGTTTCATAAAGCAATGGCAATTCATTCTTAAATGGTGTACCATCATAAGGATATAAGATACCCTCTATGGGTCCAAATTGAGTACGTTTTTGTATGTAACGTTTTGCAAACACTCCATAATCTGATCCGCCTGATATAATTTCAGAACTGGATAACTTGTTTATAGAAAGATACGATCCTGGCAGTGTTGCTATAGCACGAGATGGTACCGGCTGATCTGCTATTGTACATACATTATGTGAAGTGCAATTATCACCAGTACACATATCATCACATTCATCACAACCTATAAAAGATTTAAATTCAGCTTATAATATATTAATCATATAAAAAAAAATAAAATTACATACAAAAATTCTTTTTATCATTTATACGACGCTTTGAACGTCTCACATTCTTTTTTTCATTATCTTTTTTTTCTTCAGTAGGTATTAAAATTTCATTAATTTCTTGTTCATTAGATGCAGCTAAAGGATCTGCATTATTTTCTTTATTTGAATTTTCTGCAGTTGATGAAAGATGTGTAGAATCATCTACATCAAGGTTTTGTGTTTTAAACGAATTTATAACATTCATTTGGTCATCTTGCATAACAAGAAAATCTCTACTTAATGTAAAATCTGTACTTGGTATGCCTGTCAACATCAATGGAGCTGTTGCTGATTCTAATCCGGAATTTGACTCTATAAATATATTTTACAATACATTGTTTAATCGTTATACTTTATTTTAGAGACAATATGAATTTTACCTTGCATAAGAATCAATTCACTACCAACGCTAGACACTAGTTGTTCCTCATTTTCATTAGCAACAAAGTCAGTAGAATTATCTGATTGTTGTACATTCGGTGTATCAATTGGATGCGTTAGTTGGGAAACATAATTAACATTTGTTCTTTCATTTGACTCAGTTGAGGATATTAATGGAGAAGAAGAATCTTGTAATACCACAACAGAATTATGAAAAGGAGATGGTGGAAGTTGTACTGGAGTTGGTGAATATCTAGCAGCTGAACTCATATTGGGATCAAGAGGACTAACGCGGTGTTCAAAATCTGAAAGTGGAGACGAAGGTCTAGGAGAAAAAGAAACTTGTTCGTATGTAGGAAATAAACGGGAGTATTCCCGCGATGGATCTTCCACATATTCCACCTAATAACAAAATATTTTCAGACATCATATGTGGAGCTATAAAAGCGTATTTTTATAAATTTACTTACAGTTAAAAATAACAGTTTATTATTATTCATTTTTTTTTGTTGTTCAAATGTTGATGAAGGAAAAGAATGATCTGTAGGCCAATTTACTGAATTGTCAGATTTATCGATATTGTGTATCTCAAAGGAGTTAGCAGGGGCCCCCTCAGGAGGGCCCCTTGGATCCATTTTATTTCTCCTTCTGTACCAGAATGGTTACAACATCTGCAACCTGCTAAAAACATGCTTTGAATCTACAAGAAACTCTATTGGTAAAGGTTAAACAGAATTAAAGATATTCGATCTTTTTAACCACATAATGATTATATTTGTAGGATTTTAGGATCGCTGGGAAAGTATGATAACATCTGCGACAGAAAAAAAGTAAGGATATAATGTTTATGTTTCTGGATTTCGTAAAATAGAGGACTTACCATCTTCAATGTATAAGTTTTCAAAGTAGATGCACTTTTTGCCTTGTGATGCACCTGCTGCAGTTCACTGGTTCGTCAACAATCGACATTATCATTTTCATAATGTTGATTGAGAACCACTGAAATGGCGGGAAAATTTCGAACTGACAGATACAATTACTAATACATAACTTCACAAATAATATATTTAGTAATAGTTTTTACAATTTCTGGTTAATCTCATCTTAAAATTTTTTATAAAAATTAATATCAAAGCGATATTATTTTTTTTAATTAAATAAATATGATTTAATTAATTATTATAAATATAATATAACTAAATAAATATTAACATAATCAATTTACTTTTATTTATTATGCTGCGCAATACTGATATATTAAAATACATTTGTGAAAGTAATGTCAACATTGATTCTTTACTGATTTATTAATAACAAAGATTTAGCTAAATAATTTTAATACATTAAAAAATCTTCAACAACGTAAGAAACAATCTAATGTACTAATATACTGATATTATACAAACTTTTTTTTAACAATATAGGATAAAGTCGAAAGTTTTTGTCACGCGACAATCCACCCCTCAATTTATGAATGGGGATGTGGTCTACATGTGTGTGTATATAGGGGATATCTTCGATAATTTTCCTTAACAACGAAACAATAACGTGTCAACAAGAGTTTGGATGACTATAGGATGACTATAATATATTTTGTCAAAACGTAAGAAAGACGCCGCTTTTACAGCCACCATGGTATATGTGAGTGAAGTAACAAATCTGATGGATCGGATGATGAAAGTGAATATTTTCCACCCATTAGAGAAGCTTCGGATGTTGAGAGATGAAGAAAAGACATTTCTCGATCCAAATTTCATAATGAATGCGAGGCATCGTATATCGCGGGAGAACATGTCTGCTTCACCCGTGAATAGCTCCGTTTTGGCAGAAGCTAGAAAGTATGATATAAAAAATAATGAAGATACAAAAATTATGAAGGATAATTTTGAAATTCAATTTCGTAGATTATTGATGCAAGAAGAGACGAAACAATTATATATGAAGAAACAACAACGATTCTTGGAAAGGGAATTGAAAAAATTTGAAATGGAAATAAGCAAATCTCGACCAAAATTCTCGAAATCCTACACATGTACGAAAAGAAATTTTATACCCTCGGATGATGATTTTTGGAAGATATCTAGGGAATTAAGAAACAAGGTTAGTATGAATTTCAAGTAATCATAAAAATATATTTTTCACTGTAATCAGAAATATAGAGAATTCTTCGTAGATAACAGTTGAAGAGAAAAAGAATCAGATCAATAGTAATCATAATGAAAGTATAGATTCCGTTTATAAGAAAAATACGATAATAGATACCGACGATTCTTTGTTAAAACTGGAAAATGAAAAAACAGAGTGCGAATTATCATCTATTGGAAACATAAAAGTAACGATTAAAGATAAAACTAACTTTGAAATAGAAACGCAACGTTTACATCTTTTAAGGAAATACTTTGATATTTTAAAACAACATGCGACAGAAAAACAACGTTTACGCGAGATTAAAATGAAGATTCAACAGAATATGATAATGAAGATAATAAGAAAGTATTTCGATATTTGGAAAACCTGTATGAGAGATGCGAAAAATAATATTCAGAAGCAGACAGAAAAAAAAGAGGTTTCCGAAGAACGAAAAATTGAAATGTTTATAAATACAATTATAGATTGTCAGAAAGAACTAATGAAAAAAAGTCAAAAACCAAGAACTAGAAATGATATTTTAATGGCGGAAGAATCTAATAAAGTACATATGAAGAAAAAAACCACTTATTGCAAACGTATTATTGTCGACCCACCAGCACAATGTCGATTAAATGCTCAGAAACAGATAATAGAAAAGCAGAAAGCTAAATTAGCCGAACAGACAAAGATAATCGAGGAATTAAAACTGAAACAGATGCAAAAAGAAATATCATGGGCAAATAGGGAGACAATGGACATAGCAAAGAAAACTCTCACTAATTGTGGACGAAGTACGAGGAGAACATTGATTCAATTAATGCAACAAAATGGTTACAGGTAATACCGATTTTTAGGATACTTTTGAATTTACATTGATAAAGAGATTTATAATAGATTATGTACATCTTCCTGAAAGAGACGAAAGTTTAACGATACCTCAACATCCACCGGATCCACCAAAATTTTTATTAAGAATGGAAGCGCGAGCAGAAGCTAGACGAAAAAGAGTAAAATTGGCTGAAGAGATACGTAAACAGAAACTAGAAGAACAAAAAAGTAAAGAAGAAGCTGCTAAAATAGAAGAGGAACAGAAGAAGAGAAGATTACAACAAGAGGTCAGATTATACAAGAGGTCAAAGTATATTAATGTCATAAACACTAATTTCACCTCGAAAACTTTGTTATCTTTTCAACAATACAACTGTTTTTGTAATTATAATGAATGTGTTTCTCTAAAATGATAGTATGATGAATTTTTTTATTCATTTATTGATAGGCTTTAGCCGAAGCAAGAAGATTACGAAAAGAACAAGAACAAAATCGACAACGTGAAGTAGAAAAATTTCGAAGATTAAACAATGTAGCGGATGAATTCTATCGAAAGTATCTTCTACGACATTATATAATGGAACCATTCATAATATTTATTGAAGAATTACGGATTAATACTAAAAAAGCAGAGGATCATTATAAAGAAAAATTGACAAAGAAAATTTTTACAATATGGAAGAAAGAAGTAGACATTCAATACAAAATGAAAATTGAAGTTGTTGAATCATTTTATAATATGAATTTAACGATAAGAATATTTAAAGAATGGAAAGAGGAAGTTAAGGAATTAAATTCGAAATGTCAAGTTGCAATAGATTTTCATGATATGAAACTCTTAGATAAATATTTTAAATTATGGCAAGTAACAATACTCGAATATAAAGCAAGATTTGAAGAAAAAAGAAAGTTAGTTATCAAATTTTATGAAAATAGATTAAAAGTCAAGTATTTTGGTACTTGGAAGAAATATCTCACGATTGTTGCAGATATTAAAGAAAGTGAAAAAAGAAAAAACGAATTGCGACAGTTAGTGCAGGAACTGATTCCTGATTTTGATCCTAAACAGAGAGGTGTAGCATTGGAGGATTAAAGTCAATCTATAACACATTGTATCACAATGGTATGTTTAAGTTTATATAACACAATGACTGTTATTCATTTTACATTATGTTGTATAGAAAAGATGTAAACATTTATCATACTTAATTTATGTATATTCAAATCTTAGATATACTATACATAACTGATTAATATAATTTATCATTTTAATTAGTACAATGGCCACTTTATCACAGTTATAATGAATATACAAATAATGTGCGCGATAGTAGAGTAAAAATAATTAAATCTATAATCAAGATCAGGACGTCGTGATTTGTCTTTATTAAGTTCAATACTATGAGCAATAGCTTCAGATTATTAAGTACTTTATTATTATAAAAACAGGATAAAAATGAACATTAAAGTATATTAAAGTGCATTGTGAAATAAATATTAAAATGTATGTTCTGCTTTCACATACCGCTGTTGTTTTGGCCTTAATTGTTTCAAATTTTCTAGTATTCTTTGTAAAGTATCATCTCCCATACAAAGTAAATTTAATAATTTAGTCTATATTTACTATCTAAGTTTTGCAACAAAATAATCTAGATACATTTTTTAACATCCCATGGTCACATGGACTTCCAGCTTCTAGAAGACGTCGTTCATTCGATGTTGTACCAAGGTAAATTAACCAAAGATGATATATTAAATAACAAACTATCACTAGCCCAACAAGCAAACTGTAGAGTGCCGAGATGAAGCAAAGGGCAATGCTGAAACAATATGTACATTATTATACTTTGATTGGGTATTCAAAGCAAACAGTTGCATGACATGTTATCTATCCAACTCTTATATTCTGAGAAAAGCAAATAAGAGATATTACAATATTTATGACGTTAACACAAGTCTCGACAATTATCAATATCTTATGATTATTAAAGTTGGTATTGCAGATCCTTACTATCTTTCCAGCATTTAGTCTTAATAATGGAAAGTGTTATATTTCTTTAGAATATAATTTTATATTTTTGATATTATTAATTTCGAGATTACATATCTTTTACTAATTGGCAGTAACATAAAGGCTTCTTTAAGCAATACGTACTCCAATTGATGATACACATCGCTGCAATCATCTGGTAAAAGAACAGTACCAATGAGTATAAACGGATGACATACACTAGTTATGGTTAGATTGGAACCATAAATAAAAGCTATGGCTGAGAAGAATAAACATCCCAAATACCATCTTAAATTGCTAGAACCTATACAACAGTCCAACCTAAAATATAATCATTATATAAGACAAAGTCTATTTTTATCATAGAAAGAATTACCATTTACAATGATATTCTCTATTAAGAATGCATGTCTGACACATTCGACAATGATGAGCTTTAGGCGGTGCTCTTCTTCTACATGTAATGCAAAGTTCTCCACTTCCTTCGCCAAGCTCTAAACCTTGAGTTAAAGTACCTTCTTGAGTTACAGAATCTGCATTTGATCTAGTCATATAGCCGCACCATATACCACCCACGACACACATTATGAACACTATATTCTCTTCTAATAAAATTTCTAGTAGTGGTACAACATTCACTTCAAAGATTAGCATCAACATGACTACACTCGTAATCGTCCACATTAAAAAAAATTTGGTACGTAGTAGAAATCTCAGAAAGTTGTGATGCAAGTAGTAGACCAATATTGGTGTTGCAACAAATATGATTACAGTACATAACACTGTTTGCGCGGCTATAAGTGCCAATGTTGGAACCGCAAATATCGGTATCATTGCGTCGACTGAAATTTGCTTAGCACCAGCTCTCCAACCACAAGGATTTCGTAGCCTCTCCCACATAGTCATCTTTTATCTACAGTTATACGCCAAAACAGCAAGTTTATACTTGCATGAAGGATTCAATGGAAGGATACCAAAATAAAGGTTAGAAATGTTTCATGGAACGTTGGCTCTCGACTAATGTAAAATTTCAGTTGAACGATTGTTGAAAATATCGCGCGTAAGCACAGGTGGCAGCACCTTTTAAAATAATAGGTATAATCAAATTAATAGTTGCAAAAATTTTCAGTTCTTTAAATATCCGTTCGAATGAAATTTTCTTTTAACAAAGTACCAGTAATTTTGATACGAATCGATATCTCGACCGAAATTCTCTGATCAAATAAACGGTCAATCATTTTATTTAAGAATAAGATCCATTGATAAGGTAATATATTTTCTAAATTTTGTATTTTTTTTTTCTCTATCGTTACTTTTGGAAGAAACGATACTTCTGACGGTATTTTGAAAATGGCGGAAAAATCGCAGAGGGCAAGGATAATAGTGTTCGTTTCCAGTGCCAAGTAGTGGTTGTATGTGGTGTGTACTGTGTGAGAGAACAATATGTCAATGTTGTCAATGTTGTATTTCAACAATTCAAAACTGTGACTGGTCGTTCAAAAATTTTTTCACGGTTCCGTTCATTCGACTCAGGTGAGAAATAAATTGCAGACAATTAAAACAGCCGTTGATGCTTCTTCCGGTGGCAGTGCTGTTTTGTTTTACGTTACTTGTTAGTCTCTTGTGTGACATTTGCTGTAACCTCGTCGCGCATGAAATTGCAAACGTGAAACACATGGCGGGAACGTGACGCAAGTTGAAAATAAAGTCAACTTCAAACGGGGAAAGATCGTTCGGAAAAAAATCCGAATATCTTAAATTATCAACGTTGCACGAAAGAACATCGAAGGTCAACTCTTATCTCGATTTAGTGCTTGTTATTTGACGTTTAACGCTCTCGATAAAACTGTGTTGAAAAAGTTATTAAAAAAAAAAAAAAACATTAAGTAGAAAATATCAAAAATTAGCGAATGAAGTGAAATCTGATCAGAAATAAAATGTGATCGCTACTTTAGGAGGAATTTTGAGAGTTCTCTACTGCAATTATGAAAGTCAAAACCAATATAATAAACGTGTTGGAGAGGCACAAAATGATCGATGAGGTTACTATAAAATTCGTGTCAGATGCATCACCATTGCCGATCTAGTCGATCAGCGTTCTATTAAAATTTATTTCATTGATTTATGACTGCGCAAAAAGTTACCGCCAAAATAATCGCCTTGAAAAGAATAACACAGATTGGAATTCTTAGCTGTATTAGTTGTATTAAATATCATACTTCAACACTGTACTTCTTTCTTCCTTTGACACACGCGAGTCCAAATATCGTTTGGTTTTTCGCGAAGAAGAAGACTCGGACGCTATTATCACACTGTCGAGGCGAGGCTAATTAAAGAACATTGTGGTAGAACTCCATTAAGATAATCGTACGGTGTAATAAAGAATCATTTATAGAAGTCAAAGATTGATCGACAGTTACGCCAACGGCTGCTGCTTACTGAAACTATTTTCAATAGTTTGTTTGCACGTGTTCGAATTGTTTTATCAAGTTATCATTGTTTGCCAGACTCCCTCGGAGCTTTTAGCACTAACTAAGTGGGGAGGAAACGTTGTAAAACTCGACAATCGTATATGATACTGTTTGATCATTTGATACTGCGAACGTACCGATTTCAATATACCTATTTATGCATAATGTATAATTTCAATCAGATACTAGCATTATTTCAATCATTATCAATCATTATCTTTACATTATTATAAAATCCTGAATTGAACTATTATACGATATTTAGATCATTATTTACATCTCTTATGTGTCTAATTAGTGAGGTAACGGTACATACCAGTTAATAAATTGAAGGTTTAGTTTACAGTCAAGTCATATAATTGTAAGCAACGATGGAATAATACCACCACTTACATAGATAGGTTGATTGTATTCGAACATCATCTAGGTATGCCATTAGTGCAAACAATGATGGGATAATACTATCTGTTGATTGTATTCGAACATCAGAGAAGAATACTTGCCTTTTACTTTTCTTAGGATTTATGTTATTTAAGATTTACTCGAGATGTAGGGAAGGACATTAATGATGCATGAATCATAAGTTTTCATCAAAGAAAGAAGCCGATTGGAGACCTCTTTGACCTATAAGAGGCTCGTCTTTACCCTACCCCTTTCGTATATCTCTTCGTCAGTTCGTACGTGGATCTCGATTTGAAGACTCATCGAGATCACCCGGCAATGTAGCCTTGCAGTCGCTTGTTAATGCGTGCAACCGCATCAGTTGATATTGAATTTTGTTGCCAATTTAATTCGCGATTCATCACAAAATTTAACTGTGCGCGGTCTGATTTCGTGCAATTAAGATTATCAAATTTCGACGAAATTGTGAAGTACCCTTGATTATTCTTACAGAAAGGAAAGAAGAGAGTAAGTGAAAGTTATTGAACAAACCGAATTTAACGAGTGGAGTACGTGATCTAGTTAATAGTGCACGTGGTGTACGTGATCCCTTCGCGACTTCATTCAGATTATTTTACGATTACGTGTTGTTTCTAGTTGTCCTACGTCTATATGCAGCGATATTATCAATTCCAGGGTAAATTTCCAAAGAGTATGTGACTAATGACCATCGCTTTTGTTTTAAGTAAAAAAGTTCATAACAAAAGGAACTTGTAAATAGTTATTTGACCGGAACGAGAGTTGATCAGTGGAAGAAGTCCTTAGAAGTGGTGGTGAGCTCGATGTTGCTTCAACCAACAACCTTTTTATGATCGTTCACTTGGAACAAAGATACGTGTGAATGACAACCAAGGATATTGATTAATCTTGTATCCGCTAGATCGCTAGATTGATTGATGACAACTTGTGAGCTCTCGCGATGGAAATCGGAGATAGGAATCAGCGTGAAGAGAAGTAGATGCGTTCTCAAGTTTCGTACGGATACTTTGGTCGATCTTCCAAATACGTATAAGTACGAATCGCGGTACGGTCGAGACCAAGTGATAAGGAGGTAATGTCGTATGGCTCCAGAATAAATCAGTTGATAAGAAACATATAGACCCGAGTCTTCTAATGTTAATAACTTGTGACGAATTGTGTCACCATGTTCCAGTGATATTAGTAGCGGTAATGGTGGTGGTAGCGATGGTGGTAGTGGTGGTGGTGGTGGTGGTGGTGGTGGTGATGATGGTGACGGCTACGTGCAGCAGTCTATGAATCCGGGGTTACTGCTCTCCCTTGAGCCGTGCTTCGTGGGTTGAGAAGCTTTCAGGCTTCCCGTGGAAGGCTGGAAACTGGTCTGTCGTCTAGATTGTGGGGATGTTATGTAAGCTGTAGTTGATCGACATAAACGCATACAAAGATCGTATACGTAGGCGCACGTAAGCATGCGAGGAGGAACTTCGATTCCTAGCTACGTACTATAAACGCGAGGTGTTGGAAGCCGCGAGGTGATCCGGCAAGAGGATATTCAGTGACGGGAGTCGCGACGCGTCAGATGTAGCGATTTAACATTCAAAGGCGCGCAGATAGTGTTCACTTTAATCAAACGTCAAAACGTACAAGTTCTCAATCTTTCAGGTGATCGAGTTGCGTGTTCTAGCAGTGATCCTCGAAAACTAGCTGAGGACACTTTTTATCCATGGTTGAGCTTTGACGAGCTTTTGAGCTATGAGGAAGATGTCCGGTTGAGGACCGAAGACAGGGAGGAAGACGACGAAAAGGAGTTCGAAGAACGTTCAGTAATGTCTTCGACTAACAAACTGCAAATTTTGTGGGATCATTTCATTCATGCAGAACCGCAGAGCTACGAGGTATACGATTCCTAGCTCTAGGAATTCCATTCAGCCAAGGTTATTTTAAAGATTCGAGTTCGATGAATTAATTTGCATGCCAAACATCGGACGAGAATCTAATTAGCTAGACTAACCTGCAACGAGAATTAATTTATTTTACCTTAGCGTATATCCTTTCTCTTTGAGATCTTCCACCTAAAAGAGCTTAGCTAATAATTATTTTTACTTGAATACATTCATATTAACATTGTTCTTTATTATGTGCTGTTAAGCGAGGTTTCGTAATCATTGTCAGTCATGGTTAAATACACTTTACGTTCGTTCCCGGATGACTTACAAGTAACTTGTCGATATTTTGCCGCAACTAGCGAAATAACGAGTAATCCTCTGTCTCATATAACGTAAACACTATCGATTTCTTTCTCTTCATATTCACTTATCAAGTAAAGAGAATTTGCATCAGACAAGCACAATACCGGAGTTTGTGCATTAGTAATTGCATTCCTCTGATTAAAAATACGATTAAGAATGTTTGCTTCAATAGAAACTTGAAATAACACAATATCTTTCTTGCTGATTGTGCCATTTAGCTACGATAGTAAAGCTATCGAATTGTATAAATTATTTCCGTGACCACATCTCCCGAAGATGGACAAGATTGTAATCTCATTAATTAAAATTGACAGTCGACAGAATGTTTATGATTGCCATTATGATTCCATTGAATAAACATTAAATTTATTTACTTTTACTTGCAAAGTGTTAAATTATAGCGTGCAATAATTGTAATACAATTTATAAAGTAAAATTGAGGCATTTGAATATATAATTTCGATCTTTATATCTTCAGTCGGCGAACTGATTATTTTATTATACCGCAGCACGTGTAATAACGCTTGACATTTTAAAAAGTAGAGAAAACAATATCTTTGTTTCTTTTTTTATCATGTACATTGTATCTACGATTTTCTCGTTATATTAGCATCTTTGTCGTAATGAGTTGTTTTTCATATTACTCTATCAAATCTAGAAGGCATAGTATTGCCAATAAATTATATTTATATTACGGACGATTAATTATTTATATTTATTTAGCTTATAATAATATCACATTGAAATTATACTTTTGATAATCTTTCGTTTCGTTTCTTTGTTTTGACAGAATGAATTATCATACGAATTATATGTTTTCTCTATTTAGAAATCACATTGGTTGGACATATTTCTCGCGGAGTTTCTTGCCCAAATAAAAGAAGGTCAAGATGTAAAGGATGCCCTATCGTTTTGGTAAGATTACACATCACTCGATTAAATCTCTTATTTGAAATGATAACTATTCAACTGTATTGTGTGCAGTGGTAGTCGAAAAAAACAGTTTCTAAAACAGTTGTAAATTTTTGAACTGTATCTAAAATTCTTTTTCTAAAAAATATTTCCGTCACAGAGGAATGACATATTGAGTTGTATGTAATATCTTTTTTTTTTGAGGAATGACATAATGAAGTAACAACATAGATTTTTGTGACAAGACAGCGATCGTTGACCGCAACAGGAAAATATGATCTCATGTTCTCATGCTTGTGGTTTCGTGATTTTTTTACGTGATTTTTCACGTTTGCGTGCAATTCACTTTTGTCCTAGTAGGTCTCCATCACTTTCTCGTCTTTGCACAAATTATTACCGACCGATTTTTCTGGTTAATATTTTACCAAAATGAACATTACATCTTATTCGAAAGAAAGAAAACTGCTCGCATCACTATCTTGCACACAATCAATTTCTTATTATCGAAATTTTGCTCAATTTCACTTTTAAAACTTTCCTCGGAGATATCGCGTTTCTTACTGAAAATAAGATTACCAGTCCGGACGTTCAAACAATAATCATATCGGGGTGATAATAAGGAGATAAGAGCATTTAATTCGATGGATAAGATAGCAATATAAAAGGTGCAGTATGGAAATATCCATTACAGTTCGGTCGGCGGTGGTGGCGTATCTACCCTTATAGCTTGTGAGCTGCTCTCCGATGTTCATGAACTTTGCGCGAACAGGACCAACGGCGACGAACTTGTTCGACTGAAGAAGTATTTAGCTCAGGAGCGTGGTTGGCGTTGTTTAGCTGTCCTACAGCTACTTGGTGTCCGTGGGCTCTCTTGTGGAAGAGAACTCGTAGCTCTGCTCATCGCTCTATATCCAGTTGTCCTTCAGGAGGAAACGAGTAATAAAGCTAATTCTGCTTCACTGAACGGGTCCGCGTATACTTCGTCGGCTGATACCGCACGTAACCCTTATGTAAAATTCTACTGCAACGACGATACCGTCGACACGGTAGATATCGTGTCGCATGTGAAACGCAGGACGGCAAAGTCTAATCGAAACGGCGCATTTTACGAGGGCAATGTACCGTCAAAAAGGAGGACAGGTCGTAGATATAGCATCGGTACTAAGGTGCCGGTCCATCAGAAGCAAAAATCATTTGGTACGTTCGAAGCGCGTCGCAACACGCCGGAAAGCGCGAGCAGCGAGTCCGAATTACTGACAGATGGTATTGATCAGGCACGATCGCTCACGCTCAAGATCCGCCTGAATCCTATGGACTTCGAGTATTTCACATCAGTCGTCAGAAGCGACGAGGAGCAAAAATGGCAAGCAGCACTTTACGAACTTCCGGTACGGCCGGTGAAGAAAACACCGAACGATTACATAGACGGGCGGATCAAGGATGTTCTAGATGCGAAAATTAGCAACTTCGAAACGAGCCTTTTGATTATTCAATTGCTTCAAGGGCTACGAGATTACGGTACTCCAGCGGAACAAACGCCTGCTGTACAAGTTCTAAAATTTGCTTTGGATACGTTATGGTCCCTGCAATTCGGTATAGACGGTACCAACTTGACTGGCACTGAATCCGCTACGTTAAAGGCTGCGGCTGCTAGGCTTATGCTTACAGCACTGGAACGCGTATTACGATCAAATGAACCAACTACCGCTGTCATTCATAATGGTTTGTTGCCTATGACACTGAGATTACTCGAAGATGCTTGCAGCAAGCCTGTAAGTGTTTTCTCGCCGGAGGAAGGTTCCCTTCTGCAAGAGTTCATCTTTGCCACTATTTACGGAGTGATAACGTTTCTTTATTGTCTGCTGCATCAACAAGGTACCACGATAGAAAAATTATCAGACTTTCTAGAACTATTTCAACTGTTCACGGAGAGTCAGGATGGGAAGTTAGTGGAGAGAACGATTTTTGCGATTGTCGATCTACCAAGCATTGATCCGACGAGGTCAATAATCCGCGCCAGAAGGGTCATTGATATGATAGGTACGCTAACCAGTGGATTAAAATCTGTTCGACGTGATATTTCGCATGTATCTCATTGCAACAAAACAAAGCACAAATCCTGTGTCAATAACGTTCAAATCCAGCATCATTCGGATGTATTTGGAGCGCCTTATGCTCAGCCAATTGTTGGCGCCGTTGTTATGAAACAAGCATGCTGCATTTCCTCGCTTTTTATGGTACTCACTAATCTCCTCAAGTATTCTCATCCATTCATCAGCGAATTGCAAATCAGATTGATCAAAGTTTTTACAGCGGCGGGAACGTGCTGCTGCTTCCCACCCAGAATACTCATGGCTAGCATCGCCACTCTTTTGAAAAGACACGATCCGACAATTTATATCCCAGCCGTGGCGTTCTTAGAGCGTATCTTTTTCAAAGAACTCGGTGCTTATTCGGAATCAGATGTGTGCGCCACGTGTGACAGACCTACCACATACTCTTGGGATTTCCTCGAAATGTATGCAGACTTATTGACGCCGAGTGATTCAAAATTATGCTACATCATAATGGCTCATCTGCTGAAAATCGGGCCGTGTTCGAAATTTCACATTAGACGGGAATTGGTTCTAAAAGTTTTTTACCCGACCTTTTTGAAAGCTAAAACCTATTACGCAGCTGACAAAGGGAACACAGTCGCGAAATTTCTCATTCAATCTTGTCTATCTGCAATATCCTGCTTGATCGTGAATGCGCAGATATGCGAAGAATTCACTGAGATCAATGGATTGGAAGAAACATTGATTTTGTTATCAGATACGATCTTCACGCGAAATGTTTACGCTCTCCTAGAAGTCACTGTCATTGTCGAGATCTGGAAGACCAATTTCATGGATTCTTCGGATACGGAGAAACCCGCGCTTAAATCTTTGTTCGATTTCCTCGAGAAGGAAACGACTGAATTGTTGGACATTCTTAAGAATTCGGCACATACTTTTGTCGATGAAAAATACGTAGATCAAGTAGCGAACCAAATTTCTGACAAATTAAATGATCAGAATGTTGAAGGAGCGAATATTACTGTGGAAAACAACACTCTTCAAGAACAGAATGAAACGAAAGAATTGATCAAGGAAATATCTGATAATTCTCAGGTTAATGCATCATGCTCGGAAGTTCATAATGAAACAGATACGACTAGAAAAGTAAATCTGTATCAAGCTAGTGCCGCGTGGAGAGCCGCAGCTGGAGTAGCGCTTTGCAGTCCTAAATTTCGAACTCAATTATCGTTGCATCCGGTGTCACGAAAATCTTTACAACTTTTTGTAACGCTGGCTACATACATTTCTTCGGACAATATTGCAGGTATGTTTGTAAAAGTATAGAACAGATTGTATCATATATAAAAATACCTGGATTTATATTTACACGTTTGTCTTCTTTTAGATACCAACAAATCAGCGCACAGACTCTTCGAGGCTTTACTAACGTGCTGTTTAACATCCCCGTTGTGTAAGTATACTTTTATATAACGAATATGAATCATAGGCATTCCGAGTACGTTTCTGTCCTACGTACTCTTTCGCCGCGTACAGCTGCGGCGGATTAAAATCTCAATATGCTACACGAATTTACCTGCCATAAACAGTTCACAGAATTCTTGACACCAGTAAACATCTCGATCTATCTACTGTTCTTTCTACAAATTTCTTTTTCTACGAATAGTATTTTGTCATATCCACATGTTTTATATTGTTCGCTTAAGCTGAGGTATATAAAACAACTTGTGACATAGGTGATTGCGATATAATTATGGAACTGGGAAGAGCGTTGATGCACGCAGGAATCAAATTGGGTCGTGGATTGGCCGTCATCGTAGAAGCTTTGTTGAAAGTCTCTATGTTAAAACCAGCTCAAGAACAAACCATGCCACAATGTACTCGCCCCAGGGTAATTTTCATTTTATTTCTTTTATTTTGGATTGAACTAATCTCGTTAGTTCTACTGGTACCACTACTGGTTCGTTATAGTTACCATCTATGACAGTCGACACAATGCCAGATTATGCCGCTGATGACAGCAGCACGGGTGAATATCTAACAGCCGATGATGGTTACGAAGCAGATGTAGAAATACCGATGCAAAATCCTCATAGCAATACCGTGAAAAGAAGTAATTCTTTCGGACCGATAGTTGAGCCAAGGGGCCATGCGAATGCACATCCCGCATTATGCTTGTTGGCAGTTGATTTATTAATTCATTTCAGTGAACAGTAAGTCCTCGATTGTACAAAATATAGGAATTATATGAAATGTAATAAGATTATAATAAGTAATATTTCTTTTATAGAGGGTTGGATGCAGAGAAAACATGTATTATAACTGCTGGTTTAAGAAAAGTTGCAGTCACATGCAGAGAAAGTGCCTCGAGTTGTGCCGCACTTGCAAGTTCAGGTGTAATTACAAAGATGTTAAATGGTTTCAGAGATATACTTATTACCAGAAATACTCAATATCAAGGTATCTTTAATATAAACTATATATTTAATGTATGTAATATTCATAATATTTTAATCTCATTTATAATATTGCGTAATAAATATTTATAGATTTGCAACACGCTGTGCTAGAAGTATTTACTTTGCTAGCGACGCAATCAATTTCACCATCAGAATTAGTTATATACTTGTCTCTGTTCAAAGTTGATGAACCTTCTCTACAGTCGTTGTTGGAACCACTTTTTCATTTAGTTCTAGCAGCTCGTCCACAACCCAACTTTATCATATCTTTTCCTGTACTTTCTGATGCAAAACTAATATCAAAAACTCAATCGGAAGAGTACAAAAACTTGGAAAAGATTGAAAATCTTGTAAATAATTTTCAAAAGAAACATTTTGCATCAAACATATGCAGTCCATGGTCTGTACACGCGGTATGTCTACCAATTGGTCCAGAACTGGCTTGGCCAGTTTGGTTGCATGGTTGTTCCGCTTCTATGTGGTTGAGAGTTGAAAGAGGATTATCTGTTAATGGCAAAGGGACAGTGATTAATACCTCACCATTACTCGATTCAGATAATGAAAGTTTATCTGATTGGGGTATTCTTTCTGATAACTGGAGTCGTGAAGGTTAGTAAAGTAGTTTAATAAGAACTAATAATAATATATATATATTATAATACTATATTACATAGTATTATAATATATAATTATATAACTATATATGTATATGTATATATAGTTATTTCAACATTTTCTTCTAACACGAGATTCTCTTCGCAAGTCCATCATAATTTTATCAAATGTAGCAATATGTTTATTTTTTATCCAACGCATGCTCTACAAATTATCGTGGAAAGACCAATCGATGTCTGATCTTTTCTTGGGTACATCAGTCGTAGCAGGTTCATCATTTCCACCCACACCAGCATCAATTATTCATTTGATGTCTATCGGATTTGAGTCTCTGGTGCTTGAAACATGGTTGGATTTTAAATCAGGTAAATGATAAATAGACTTTTAACTTTTTAGTACAATTACTGTATTTTATTCCTTTTCTTATATTTCAGATAAATTAATTTTGCGATTAACTAGGCCAGACGACAAAGCAAATCGAACAATCTCAGAAACATCTCTAACTGGTATGCTTCCTTCCGGTCGATGGCATCATTTAGCACTGAATTTCAAAGACACGGTGTTAAATAAACGTAGTGCGGTAATCGAAGTTGTGATTTGGATAGATGGTTGGAGGGAAATCAATGCGCAGTTACCATTTGATGGACTGCTAATGAGAAAACCTAGCACTACATGCGTTTTATTAGGGCAAATTGGATCTAATGCTATTGGTGCTTGGTATCTTGGAAACTTAATGGTATTCAGGTGGGTACCTTTATTTAATTAACGGGTGATTTAACTATCGATTAATTACTATTGTTAAAAATTAATTTACAGATGCCCAGTATTTACAAAGGAGAGAGCATTGTACCTAGCAAGTCTTGGACCTAATTATACTAATCTTGCGGAATGTATTTTAAACACAGAAAAGCCAGATTTCACGCAATTAATTATATCTGGTGCCTTAGATGGTGTACGAGAAATACGATTTGGTAAGTATCATAAGTTTATGTTGCTATTTCTATGAAAGAAAACGAGAGAGAGAGATTTTTTACTTAATATAGAAGGAGGAAAATTTGATACAAGTCGAAGAAAATCATATGGCGGAACGTATTTGCGACACGCTATTGAAACTAAAGTATCTGAGACTAAAATTGATTGGGATGCAATTATGGATGCTACAAATTCGCATTTGGGTGAACTACAAGATAATCTACTCCTTAATTACGAAGCTCAAAATCCTAATATTGTTCATTTATATCCTCAAGCTATTGCAAATCCAGCTGGTAAGTTTATAACTTTGTAAATTTTTATTATTTGGTGGTATTATTTATATTATTTGTTTATTATTAATTTCTTTGCATAAATATTACCTGTTCATTTTTAGCTGTAGTCAGAAATTTATTTCCGGGCCAGCCAGGTTTTAGGGTTGTTTCTGCACCGGAACATAGAGTTTCACAGCAACCACCCTTGTCTGTGGCTCCGATACTTTCAGCTCGGTTAGAATGCCAACACTACAGAGGAATTGTACCCGCTGCCATTTTAGTTGGCGGGGTACCTATATTTTTATATTTGTTCGCAAGAGTAAGTACGATTATACAAAAATAAATATAGCAGTGTAAATTTTAATTAATATAAACTTGTAATAACGAATTATTATAATTAAATGAATTTATTTCATATAGGTAGTGGAATTAAACTCTAATGAGGAGGAGCAAGCATTAGCTCTTTCAATAGTTTTACACTTAATACGGAATGATTCCGAACTTCTAAATCAGTACCGATCAGAAGGTGGAACATCGTTAATCCTACGCATTTTAGAATCTTCTCGATGCCACACAGGTAGACACATCCTAAAAGCAATGTTAGATGCAGCTTGTGATAGTTCGGTCCTAATAAAAGATATCGGTAGTGGCAATCATTTGGTCTCACAAAATTGCGAAGCTGTTATTACCGATCCTGAATTAATCAAAGGTACATTAACCGCGTGGAGGACATGGGCAAAACATGATACATTAAATTTGCTACTACAAGCATTGTTATTATTATTAAGAGATCAACATTCACAGCGTGAATTTAACGCATCTCAATTAAACAGAGTTGGAATCGTTGATACCATTTTAACACTATGCAAGGTAGTTTTATATTTTTTGTAAATACTGTATTTTATCATAAACATATTGAGGAATTCATAAATATATCTTATTGTTTATTATAGGAGCATTTTATGTATGAAGAATTGGGTGCTGTGCTTGATTCTTCAACAGGAATAGCAGTGGTTGAATTGATTCGAGCACTTATGGGAGCACCTCCAGAATTCGCTCATTTAGTAGCTATTACTGACTACCTAGTTCTGGTTCATCAAGCGTCCGAAACTTATATCACACACTCAAGACATAATATATATTTTTTATTACCACCTATGGGAGAAAAAAAAGTTGTAAAACTTACTCCTACCATAACTTTCAGTTCTTCAGATGAATCCATAGAAACTCTTGAAAACAATAAATTGAATAAAGGCTTAACAAATACACAGGTTGGTATTTGCTATCAAATAAATTGTAAAGTAAGTAATAAAAATTAAAGTTTAATTAACATTATTTTCATTCAGATTCAGAAAAATAGAATGCCTAAGAGAAAAGAACGTCGAAATGGACCGCCTCAAGATACTAGTGCTGGAGAGGATTCAGGAATTGCAGCTAGCGATGGATCTAATCCTCTTGGTAACGTAAGTATGAAATTAACTTTATTAATTAACATTCTCTATTACGAATCTTGAATTTTTTATGCAGGAAAAACAATCTATGTGGATGGATGAAAGAAAAGCTTGTCAAGGTTTAGTTTGTGAAGGACTTTTATTATTACTCCGAGATGCAGTTAGAGTTCTACCTGATAGCCAAGTTGGATCAGTGTTAAAACACGTTTTAAGAGCTGAACTTTTACTTGTACTGGCTAATAATCCTGATAGTAGAGTTCGTACAGCATTAATTAAGGTATGACAATAGAGTATAAAAAAGAAATAAGTTTTACTTTCACTCGAGTATTATAACATTTTATTAATTTATAGCTTGTACAAACGTACTTACAACGTGCTACTGATGAGGAAGTCAATAAATTTATAAAGCAAAAATATTTTATACATTTAGCAAATCAAATAGCGTTATATCCTGGAAGTGAGACGCTGATAGTTGCTTTAGAAAACTTGGCCTTACGGGGTCCAACTCTAGCCGCGATGCCTCCATTAATGGCTATAATAGCGAAAACAGCAGCCACCGAACCAAATATAGTTAGACCAATAGTATCATTTATGACTGATATAATTGCAAAGGTAAGGTATTATAATTTTATTTCATTTATTAAACAAAATTAATTAGCAAAATTTAATTCCAGAATCCGACAGCTCTAAAAATGCTTTTGAAACAAGGCTTGATTGAATCATTAGTGCAAGCATTAGTAGGAGCTGCTCATAAAGGTGGTTCTACATCCCTTTATCGAGATATTCATGTACTTCTCGTGGCTATTGCGGCAAGACTTCTAGAATCCCCAGGAACTCATCAAATGCAAGCTATTTTAGATTTGCATTTGATATTGAATCATATGGAATTGAAAGAAAAATCTCAGTGCATTAAAAACAGAGCCTGTGTATCGGTTGTAAGAGATGCACAGGTAGCACTTTTTGATGGAGAACTCGATGTGCTTACAGCAAAAGTTTCGAATCAATCAGGTTTCCGACTACGTAGTACAACATCGTACCTAGCCTCAGCTTCTCACATAACTTCAAGTAATACCTATATATTTGATGAATGTAAAATTTTTATCAAATTTTCCACATTACCACATTTTTCATTCGTCTTTTTTTCTTTTTTTAGTTTTTACAACGTCCAGTGATCAAAGTGACCATGGCTCTCGATCATCTAGCTATACGAATTTACATTCACCCCCCAACGCAATTTTACGTGAACCAGGCAAAGGAGAATTGCTGGAACGATTTCGCCTTATTCTCACACGTGCTGTTGAATTTATAACAGCAGCTGATGAATCACCTTCTGGCAACGAGTTACAATTAACTAAAAGATTACTTTCAATTCTCTTACACGGCTTTTGTAGTCCATTGCAAAAAAGAAATCACTGGAGCAGTGCATGGTCAACTAGACACGTTTTAAGGAGATATACGGCCAAGATAATGGTGTGGTTACTTGGGCCAGATCAAAGCAATAATACGAGGATTTTTGCTATCAGATCACTAATGGAAGAACCGAAAGCTCGCGAAATTCTGTCTTCTCTTTTGGAAGTTCATCCACAAGTGAGTTTTTCAATTACTGCATATTTATTTCTATTTCATTATACGTGCTGTCTATTTTATTATACGTATGTAATTTTATGCATTTATGTTAGGTAGAACAGAAGTTTACAGTGTTCTTTTGGGATCTTTTACAAAAACGAGATGATATGCCTAGTGCTGATGCAAGAATATGTGTAGAATTAAAAGAAGCTTTGAACATATGGGATTTGGCAAAAGGAATAGAACAAGCTAGTCCTGGAATATGGAACGAAGAACTGTCACTGCTAAGACGAGAATTAATGAGAGATCGAGATATATGGATTGATAACAATCTTCCCTCAATTCAAAGGTAAGTAATATTGAATGAAATCTTATACTTCTTATTCCTTTATTTTACAAAATATTTTTCTTCTTTATCAGATTTGCCAATAGATTTGATATACTTACTAAACAATTAACAGAAAGTGCAATGACTATAACACGTACAGTTGTGGAAGAACAAAATCGAGAACGGAAAGTATTAATGGAAAGACTGAAACATTCAAGAGCGATGGAAGCTCAAGCAATTGCTAAATGGAGAGATTTAGCAAAACGTTTAACGCATGAAAGAGCTCCTTGGCATTTTCCAAACAGTTGTCCAAGAAGTTGGGAACTAGACCCTACGGAAGGTCCAGCTAGAGTTAGAATACGATTGCAACCGTGTCATTTAAATATTGATCGAAGATTTTTCATGGCCGAATATCAAAACAAACTAGGTTTGATTATTATTATTTTAAGAGCTATTTTTATTTAATTCGTTTTTATTTATAAGTTTCACTTTTTAACAGATGCAGTGAAAGTTGAAGGTCCTTTATCTTATTTATTTACGAATAATCGGCAAGATGCAAATGCTACAGCATTGATCGAGCGGTTGCACACTACTGAAAGAATACGTAAAATGTCTCAAGCCAAAGTAGTTACACCTAGAGCTGAATTAGCTGGTGAAGTTCTCATTGGTGAAACATGCCTTTACTTCGTGCCTGATAGCCCTGATGTACTATTGCACACGGATGTATGATTCTGTTAATTTTTTGCCATACTATAAATTCATTATATTATATCATACATATTATACATTCAATTAGATACATAATTATTACAGATAGCTTTAGGTGGTTTGGATTTAGCAATGGTGGGTGGAACTGCTTGGCGTCTTGAAGATATTCGAGAATTGCATAGAAGAAGATATCAGTTACAGGAAAGAGCTATCGAAATATTTCTCATTACGGGAAGAACTTATTTATTAGCATTCAATTCTTCAAAAGTATATATTATTTTAAAAATATATATTTGTTTTATTTTATATAATTCTTAACGATGACAATTCTTAATTTACAGGAAAGAGATGAATTTGTAACGGAATTATCTGCTTGCAATTTACCGAGACGAATACCTGGTGATGATTTAAGCGAAGCTATTTCGTTGTGGCGAAGTGGAGCATTAACAAATTGGGAATATATTACTTGTCTAAATAAATTAGCCGGTCGTTCATATAATGATTTAATGCAGTATCCTGTATTTCCATTTGTATTATCCGATTACACAAGTGAAAAAATTGATTTAACTAATCCAAAAATTTATCGGTAAGTACAATAAGAAACACTGTAAAATACAATAATTAAGAAAATAATAATGATAAAATAATTCTTTTAGAAACTTTAAACGTCCTATGGCTGTGCAGGATAAAAAGAATGAACAACACTATATAAACAATTACAATGTATGTGATTTATTTATTGACATGATATTATTTTTGTTGAATATATTGTTTATGATATTTGTTATCATTTTATACAGTATCTCAAACAAGCTTTATCGGAAGGTTTGAATTTAATATCACTAAATCAAGAACCATTTCATTATGGATCACATTATAGTAATTCTGGAACAGTGCTTCACTTTTTAGTTCGATTACCGCCATTTACTAGCATGTTCCTATCTTATCAAGGTAAATTATATTATTTTTTAGTATATACATATTGAGTAATATTGAGACTTAGTTTTAATTTTATTTTACTTTTATTTTCGAAGATAACAATTTTGATATACCTGATCGAACGTTTCATGCGTTGGCAACTACATGGAGATTAACTAGTTGCGATTCAACAACAGACGTGAAAGAATTAATTCCTGAGTTTTTCTATCTACCTGAATTTTTATTGAATTCCGAAGGTAGTATTATAGATTAATTGTCTCACATTTGAATATAATATTTAAATTAATTGATACTGACAAACATTTTTGTTGAAGGATTTAATTTTGGAATTCGACAAAATGGTAATCGGGTTGGAGATGTTGAATTACCGAAATGGTGTGATGGTGATGTACGACTTTTTATTCTTGCTCACAGAGCAGCATTAGAAGCAGATCTTGTTAGGGAAGTTCTACCTTATTGGATTGATCTGGTATTTGGATTTAGACAAACTGGTAGACCAGCAATAGAAGCTATAAATGTTTTTCATCCTGCAGTATGTTGAAACAAGCAACATTTATGCAATCATGTTTAAAAATGTAACTTGAATTTATATAAATTTATATTTTTAGACCTACTATGGATTCAATGTTGAACAAATAACTGATCCTCTTGAACGTCAAGCGTGGGAAACAATGGTACGAACGTATGGCCAGACACCAGCACAATTATTCAAGGCAGCGCATCCTTTACCGATTCAAAATCTTGGAAACACAGGAGTTCACAGCTCATTACCACAAGTTATTGAAAGTGTAGATGGTATAAAATGGGGAAATTATGTTGGTGCTCTAGGAAATGAACCAGTTTTATGTTGGAAACATAAACATAGAGCACCGTTAGCATCTCTAGTTCCTTTAATGACTGGCGATGTTTTCGGATTGCCTAATTATACTACTTTGTTGCTTGGTTACATGAAAGAAAAAAGTACATATTATTAATTTTAAGCTAATATTTCAATAGTTGTATTTATAGAATTAAATTATATAGTGTTTTCTTTATATAACATTAGTATAATGTTCCATTATATGTTATATAATGTTTAGGTGCAAGTATGCTAAGTGGAGCATCTGTATTGGGAGCGGCTTTAGTTTCATGGAGTGGCTCAGATGGAATTGTAAGACTGAAATTTAAGAAAGAGCAACCATTAAGGCCATTAATCAGATCTTCGGGTCTCGATCCAGTAAATAGACAAATTAGTATTTTAAGTACTGTTTTAAGTACTTTTTCAAATTACAAGCTACATAAGATCTTTTTTTTTTAGATTACAATCTTAGGATCAACTCCGGATTGTGGACAACTGTGGATAGGCCATTTATCCGGCAGAGTAACAGTGTATACATATACAGTTGTACCAAGCAAAATTGACTTTACCTCAACATCGGCATCTGTTCTATTAGCTCATAGAAACAGAATAACGACAATAGCTCTATCACGAGCATTTAGTATTGCTGTTACAGGTGATTCAACTGGTGTCATCGTTATTTGGGACTTAAATAGGTAAATATGCTTGTAAATAAATAAATAGGAGCCTGCATATAATTTCTAAAATTATTTATCTTTTTATAGCTTAACATACATAAGATCGATATCCTGTGATCAAAATTATTCTATTCATTTGCTATCAATTAGTGAAACTCTCGGAGATATAGCAATTGTTTACGAGATTCCTAGTAAAAACACGTCTTCCAATCAATCCGAATTGAAAGTATTTACTATAAATGCAAGAGCAGTTGGATCTATTTTATCAAGAGGAAGAATAACGGCTCTTTGTTATAGCAATGCACCAGAAGGAGTTTCTGTGAATGTTATTGCAACAGGATTAAACAATGGTGTAATAAGATTATGGAGTAGTTGGGATTTAAGACTAATTAGAGAAATTATAAATGATATAAAAGGATGCGGAGCAGTAATTGCAATAGCATGGGCTTTAGATCAACATCACTTATATGCTATAATCGAAGATTATACTATTCTCATATGGGAAGGATCAAAACGTTTAAGTAATGGTACTCCAAAATTCGTAAATTTAACGTCCCTCTAATGTAAATAAACTAAGTCATGTGCACGAACAACATGTTATTTTAAATACCATTAAATATTAATAGGTCTCCATTTTATTAATAAGTATTTACATAATAAAAAAATGTTTTTTACATTTATAGTTATAATATTAGTGTTACACTTGTGATAATTTTATATAATTAGAATCATATCAAACACATACATTCTTACAATTGTTAAGATATTATCACATATAAACATTACATTTGTAACTATTAGATAAAAATCTATCTGTTGAAGTATTATTTTCTTAAAATTTTTATTACAACAATTTTTTATGCTTCTAATATATCAACATCTATATTTTTATATTCTGTTATAATAAAAGAAATACAGATTTCGTTATTAACATATTTATAATTATATTAATATCACTGATACACTTTCAACTTCCAATTCCCAATTTCATAAATGTAAATTGATGATTTATGTAATGCATTCATGATATGTACGTAACATGTACATATCTAATAGAAATATCAAGCAATAGATTCAAATAACATTCAAGCAGTCTTCAATGATTTCAAACATCGGGTAATATTTTCCTGTTCTTTTAGCAATTTGTTCTGCTGTATCGCCACTTGAATTTATCAATCTTGGATTTATATCTGGATGCAATAAAAGAAGTTGCAAAGTGGGAGAATTATGAGAAGTTGCAGATACTAAATGCAAAGGTGTCTGATCTCCTTTACTCTTAGCATTTATATCTGCTCCGTTTGCAATTAATACCGCTGCACATTCAACATTGTTCCAGCAACATGCAGAATGCAACGGTTGCCATTCATCCATCGTTTTAGCATCTATCTTCGCACCTGCTTGAAGTAAATACTATAGACATAAAAATGAAACCGCATTTATTCAAGAGCTCTCATTTTGAGGAACAAGCTATCATCTTGAGTATAATAAATCTTACCTCGACAATTTTCACATGATTGCCATAACATGCTCTATGCAACGGAGTGTAACCATCCTTGTCCATACATTCTAACAAACGAGGGTTTTTTGTTAATGATCTCTGCAGTCTGTCCAAGTCGCCGTTCTCTGCTGCGTTAAGAATTTCTTTTGCATCGGGTTCTGTAGAAAAACACACATGTGTCAGAGAATCGATAATAAAAAATTGCAAAATACGATTTGAAAACATCATCTAACCTTTCGCATTACGTTCAGCTTCTACCCCATCATCGTCATCTTCCCAAGCACTAACTTGCATATGTTCACTCCGTGGTTGACTTAGCATTCGATCACGGATTGCTTCCAAATCCGTTAATTGATCACTTTCTTCATCGGACGATGACATATTTATCTCAGTCAACAAATAAAACGAAATCACGCGTATTTCTTATATCTTTGTTCATCAAATATTACACGGATCCATCTACTGGAGTACGAAGATACTGCGCATAAATTGAATTTGATCGATTTCTCGAGATGCGAAAATTATTTTATATTCTCGATTGTTTTGAAACTGTTAAATTTCCATAACCAGATAAATTTGACTTCAATACGATACGTAAAGCGACATGGAATGTTCGAAACTTTTGGAAACTCTAGATATTTTTGGTTATGCTGGTGTATGTGTGGGGACAGAAAACTCGCAGCTGTTACGGAATTCTCTCATAATATTGCAGGAGGAGAATCACTTTCAAAAGTGTTACTATTGGGGCAAAATCTACGGAGTACAAAATGATTATCATATTGCATTTGGTTTTAAGAAAGACTGCATGAACGATCAGGTGTATTACTACAGGTAAGCTTGTTAAAACGATTCGAAAACAGACGGTATTAAAAACATACAATATTTGAATTAGTACGGATGGATTAAATTGGTTGTTACTGCCAAGAGCGAATAAATACGCACGATTCTTGACACCCCTTGCAATTAATAAGTTCGAAGGTGATCCCTCGATAGTCACCAACGTCTATAACATTAATCCCCCGTTCCCGCCAAACGAAGATCCCAAAAAGTATTATGACGTAGGTCAACACAGTTTGGAGAAGCTAATTTTTCAAATTAACAAACATTTAAAGATTCTTGGCATGTTAGGGCCCTATACCAAAAGAATTAAAAGAAGAAGATAGACTGGCAGCCGCAATAGAAATAATTAGAGAAGACGCAGTCATAATTCCTCGTGGTGCGTGGTTCAAATGTCCCAATGGGGACGTGATTGAAAATTCAAATTTTGAAGGACTTGGTATCTCAGATGTGTCGTATTTAAAGTCTTATTTGCATGCACGTCCACCGCAACAAAAGTGGAACACCAATTTACTTACGAGACCCGATTATAACTATGCTTTAGACTTTTTAGATACAATCGACATGGACGTGCCATCAGGTATAGGAATAAAAATTTTTTTCAACAACGATCTCAAGCCTTTGCTGTTTCTTTGGATAATATAACATCTTCTGTTAGGATGTTGGAACCTACAACTTTTACACGGTGACCATTTAGTGATTTTACACAGTCTTTATTGGCCTGGCATGATGTTTTATCATAAACTACATAGTCCGCATTATGGATTTCTTTATTTTGGACACGGAAAGAAAAACATGGATGTCATCTTCATGGTGTAATCATTGTTGCAATAATGAGAAATCAATGAATTTAAATTGTCATTTTTTTTTTCTTTTTTTTTTTTCTCTAACTGTATAGATTCGTTCGTTTCCCTTTTGTTTTCTATAACAATTGAATACTCGTGATCACTACATTTGATATCAAATATTTTACATGTAATTTATGGTTACGATAATTCGTTTTACAAGTTTACAAGTACAATAACAGTTCCAAAAATGATCCCTATTGAGGAAATGTTTGTTAATGAAAATGTGCAGCGTTTTGAATTGTAACGCGCGAGTCGTCGATGCAAGGTTATGATCGCTTTCATATTTCTTTCATATCACGTCGGTGTGACAGAATACGTATAATTCACAAAGTTCCATGGTTACAATAAGTTTCTAAAAATAAATTTCCGCCTGTTGTTCAAATTAACCATCGCTGTTTCTATTTCATGCAAATGGGAATTAAAATAGAAATTTAATCGCCGCCTTGTGAACCAGGTTTGTGGGTACATAACCTAGTTGGCCGCTCAGAGCGCAAGATGGCAGCAGTATCTCGCTCGAGGTTTGCGAATTTGAACGCACAAGCGCAGTGACCGGCATACTCGAGTGAAGTGTTGTTTGCAAGTGCTAGCGATCCGTATTCCGACAGATTTCTTCAGGATATTTCACTGTTACCGGTAAGTGAAAACGTTCCTACAATTTTTGCCGCGTCTTGTTCGCCGATGAACAGATTTTTGTTGGTTAATTTGCCTTACTTCGACCTTGCATCGGAAGTTCGGCACATGGCGTGATGCCGGGTGACGCCGGTTCTATGAAAACGTATTTTACAGCACGTGGATTGCGTTCGTTCTTTGAACGAACTGAATCGAAATTTGCCCCGTTGCGTTCTGAAAGCTTTGATTTTTAGTATCTGTGCGGTTTTGGGCACGCAATCTGTCGCGGTATACGTATATTTTTTCTTGTTGACAGGCGGCGTCAAGTTTCTGCCCGCTTTTGCAGGAATTACGCGTCCTCTGACGTTAACCGAATCCTGTCTCTCATTCGCTTCGTAACCGATAGGTATCAGAACGGATACAAAGCGATATATCCGGGTCGATATTAACCTCTCAGAATTTAGGATACTGACCGAAATGAAATCTTCGCGTTAGAATAATATATTTATCCCCTCGACTTCGCGAGTCGTTGCTCGGTTTCGTTCGTTTGACATTGCTACATCATTTACGCACGCATTTCCCTCCCGAAACTCGTACCAGAGAAAACCACCGTGTTGAAATCAATAAAAGATTCTTTGAAACGTGGCACAACATTGTAAGCGATACAATACGATTCTGTCGTACATCGTAGCTGTTATTTGTATTTTTATTTCGCATTCTTAATACGTGTAATATATAACACGAAGCTGTTCGATTCAAGGTTAGCTAGGTCAACGAAAGTTACGAAGCTGCCGTTGTTGAAAAGACAGCTTCTTCCCCGACTCAGTTATATACCATTGCGATAAATTTGCGTCCCTGGTGATCGTTCGTCGAGATTCGAAAATTGTAGCTATCCATTGCTACCTCTCTCGATGTAAATAAAATATATCAATAGGAAATATGTAGTGTGATCCATTCTTCGTCGATACATGCAACTAATCGTAAAGTAAGAGATTCCCTTTAGATATCGACATTGTCGGTGAATTAGAGGATTGGCGTTTATGAGAATGCGATAGACCGTAAAGTTGCTGATGCAAGATCGCGTGTACTCACGATGTTCACTAGACGGAAAATCCCTATTATCAATCGTTGGATTCCGGCGATTCGCGGTGGGATCGTCCCCGGCGAGGACGATATTTTTATTGGGCGATTTTTGATTGAATCTCGCGGTTTTGAAAGCCTTCGTGTTGGCTGGTGTGTGCGTGTTTGCACCGTCTCCTTTCGACGCAGAGATTCATTTTTCTGCGACGAAGAAATCAATGACGGAGCCGATAACCTCACTCCGCGCGTTGCGCACCTCCGGCTCTCTTTTATCTGATTCATATGCATGGCTGTACATGTGCAATCGTGTAGTCAATTCCGAGCACGGACCACGGAGTTCCGGTTCCTATTCCAGTAGTATCCTCTCTCTATTGCCGATGTACACCTTCTTTTTCCTTGACGATGACTTTCTTGTCGCTGTGCTGGGACGTTCCTATTTCCATCCGTTTACGGGATCGCGAAGTAACGACAAAGTTATTAAACTATGAAACACAATGTCGCGTAAATTTTTTTGCTCGAGTCATTTGTTTTATGGCTGTGCGCTTAAAACTTGACTATTTGCATTGAATAGTACCTACGTATTGAATACTAGTTTTTTTTTTTACTCCAAATTAAATTCTTTTATAGATATTCACTATATTTGCACTATAAATCAACCAATAATTTCAGATCAAATTCGTCTTTTTGCAAATCAAATTTTTCTATAAATTGATTTTCTTGAGCCATTGTAATAAAAATAAAATCCGATGTAATGTTATTATTCCATAATAAAAATTCTATTGCATGTATGTAATATATAATGATAATATATAAACAAAAAATAACAAAATTAACTAATAATTAAAATATTTATTTAACACTAAAATGCTTATATGCACATACGTAGATTCATTATATAATAGTTCACTTGCCGCTTAGTTTTCTATACATATTCATATGATAATTATGACAATCTATAGAAACAGGTTGCAACAGAATGATTGATAACATCCAAAGGTCCATAGTTTGAAGGCCAAGATATTTCTTGCGCAGAATTTAATTTTTGAAAAAATTTCTTCAATGGGATTCATGACGATGGTAGAAATAATAATCACTTTTTTGGTTCACTCACAAAATGAATTTGATTTGCAAAAAGATAAATGTGCTCTGCAAAAGAGTTAATTACTGCAAAAGCTGTAATACGCTACTATTAGTACGTAAATCATCCAAATGTTATATTCATTTTTTTTTTCTTTTACATTGAAAATTTTCAAATTCGAAATTAAAATGAAGATTCAGTTCGTACATGTTTTTATTTGTTAATCGAACGTGGCTCTCTATCGTATATCATTTCGGTTACGTATATTTGTTGTAAAACGATGATTCAGTCTTCAATGTTTCCTCCGTCTGTGGTAATTGGCACATGCATTATCCTTTAACCGGCGACGATCGTGATCGGAAAAATCCGGCGTATAGGATGAAATAAAATTTCGTATTCCGGGTACGTGAGTTCCGAGAACGTTGCGATTTTCTCGCTATTTTACGACGAACCGAGTCAGGTTCGGAGATTATGGTTTTACGTGGAATGGAAGGTTGGCTCGCGTCGAATTCTTGTGATTGTTGCTCGCGGCGAGTTCCGCTCGGCCTCTGTTCGATTGGACGTATCGAGTGATCGGTTATCGACCCCTTTCGATACGGTTTGTCGCTTCTTTTTAATAGTTCAACGCGATCGAGGCGTAACAGGATTTAGAGTAAGCCGTAAAAAAAACTCGTGGAAACGTCACGGCATTGACTTTCTTCGTTTCCACCAGCGTAAATCTTGGTGTTTCCAGGTTTACGTTTTCGAAATGTGTCCACAGCTGACGAGTAGAAGAACAACGAAACATTGCGTAGCGGCATACGTGCTCGTAACCAGGAAAAACGGAAACGATGACTAGGAAAGCTCGAGGTTATCGTGTACGTGCAATTTGCTGTCCGGCGAATTTGTGAAAATTTAACGCTGTTGGTAGAGCCGTGTAATTAAGTATCAGATATACGTGTCAAATACGGCTCTCGAATGACTCATTAACCGTTCAAGTTAACCGAGTCGCCTTCTTTTATACCAGTTATACGGCCGTATTATCGATCATGGAACGATCGTATCTCGAGCAGTAACTCTCAACCATTGTTATGCGATAAAAACACTATTCAACTCTCTAGTTGCTTTTGTTTTCCATTGTCGTCGATACTAGTTACTTGGCAGCCTTTGCAATCTGTCCCTCTTTTCTCCTTCGGTCTCTCGTTTCGTTCTTATTAAATGTAACCGCCGTGTCCTTCGAATCGAGTCGTTCTGCCGATTCGATTTTGGCGCGCGAGTGTTCCGGTTTCCCGCAAAATGGTGCGCGCGCGCGCGAGAGAGAGAGAGACACAGTGGTTCTCACGGTGTTCAATCGCGGCAATTAGATCGAATTGGAAAGCGTGATGAAGGGCTATAAGTGCGTGAGAACCGTCCGTTTAAGGCGCGAGAACTGGTTCTTGGTTGATCGCGGGCATCTTCTTCTCAAGGCCCTCTCCTCGATGTTAAACACGGCGGAGATGTTACGAGCTCCTTCGACTGCCTGAAATTAAACGTCGAGGACAAGGTGCCCCGTGGTCCGCCTTTTCTCGAACCTCCCTTCGTCCGTTTCAAACCTTCGACCATTGCTGCCGCAACCACATTGCCTCTTTTTCTTCTTTCTTCTTCCAAAATTCTCCTCCATCTCTCTCTCTCTCTCTCTCTCTCTCTCTCTCCATTCGCTGTTTCACCTCTCTTTTTCTTCATTTGCTTTGTTTCTTCTTCGTCTTCTTCCTCGTCTCCTTCCCCGGCTGGCTACCTGGCCAACGTTACGAAACGTTTCGATCGTTTTAGATTCCAGTTGGAATTTCAACGACCAAAAAAGAAAGGGAAAAAAAAAAAAAAAAAAGAAAGAAAGATAGAGGGGCTCAACCATGCGCACGATGAAGGACTAGATTCGCGAAACAATCGCCTAACTATTTTTCTCGACTCTATTTGACTTCTCGCTCCATTTGTCTTTTGTCTACGATCCTCGTGTCCCTTCTCCTCCTCTTCCTCCTTCTCTCGGCTTCCTCCCTTCCACTTGCCGAGATTGTCCGACGAAATTGCACGAAATTCTTTCCCACACGATGAAAATGATTCGGGAAGCGGAATTCCAGCGGACTCTCGATAGACCGAAGATCGAAACGCGGTGTCGAAAGTTTCTCGAACGTGTACGGTGGCGTCGATTGATTTTCTGAAGGCAGAACGAAAAGGTGGAGAGAGAAGAAGGCCCCGGTGTGTATCGGTCGGGAATCACGTGCACCCGGAGTGATTCTCTTCCAAGCCGTG